AAACTGAATCCGAACCGCAATACGGACTTTACCGAGAATATAACTGTAGCGCCACCTTTTAGCATAATTTGGGTGTCACATATTATTACACAAGATGTCGCGTTGTATTATGCTTGCTGCATTCGGCTTTCGGCTATGCGCATTCTACCTTATGACATTCGTCATTCAAGCTGAGTAAATAGACCCAAATACAAACAGCTGCAGGTTAATTTATTGAATTAATATACCAGATCAACAAATGAATAATAATTGATCGTTAAATAACGAAATCAACATAAAATTAAGCAAGTCGCACACAGCAGAAAGCATAATGTGCATGTAAGAAAGCAACATGTAAAAGTCAGAATGCAAGATGTATATGTAAGAATGCATAATGTACAAGTTAGGAAGCACGATGTACAAGTTAGAAAGCACGATGTAACGTAAGAAAGCAAGATGTAATTTTTGCATAAATCACCCTCCATAGTTCTACATTAAATAAAGTAAAAGCTTTTGTTTTAATTTTATTAGGGCACCGTTTAAAGGCAATAGATGATACGTGCGAGTGAGAGCATTCAGAGAAATACCATTATCCCATTTTCAGGCGTAGACCAGGCAATAAATCTATAATAATTTTTTTATCATTATCTCAAAGACTATAGCTATTCCTTTGTGCGCTACATAATTTTTTGATAGTCTTACTATTTCTTATAATAATCTAGTATTTTACCTTCGGGTTGACGGATTTTTCTGCTAAAATTGTCCGAGTGGGAGCATTCTGCAGGTGCGCGATGACGTAGTATCCTTCTATTAAGGTATTCCCATTGTTTCCAAAGTCTTTCAAGATCAAACGGAATAATATTGATATCAAAAGGACTTAATCGCAAAAGTTTCCCAAAAGGTAAGACTGAAATATACAAAAGGGTTATCATTAAATTTACTAATTCAAAAACTAAGGAGTACTGTGTCAGAATAATCATACAGTTTCACTGTAGATATTTTTTTACAAAGAGTTAATGTTTTCCTACAGCGATACACTGAAACGTATCAAATTTCAATGAAAACCTGTTGATGTACGTATATTAAACCCTCTATAAATTTAAAGGTCAAATTCGTTAAAAAGATTCTGATTTTCTGTATTTTAGAAATGAAAAACACACTGATAGTGCGTAGCGTTTATTTTTTTTTGTGAAGAAGAAAATTTGTTGTTTTAAAGGGAGTTTTGTTGATTTGTTGAAGTTAGTTGAATATAATTGTGGTGATCTTAATTGATCAGGGCTAATTGATTGTAATAAGTTGTTTTGGTTGTTGAGTTATATCTTTGTGAAGATATAATTGGCTGATATTGGTTGAATGTTTGGTCTGGTCAAGATTATATTAGATGATGCTTTGTTTTGAGGATATATGTAAATATTGGGTGCTTTAGTTTGCTTTTCTTATGCTGATTTGATTTTGTGAAGTTAATATTGTTGGTTGAATGTTTGTGGTTTATAGTGTATCTTAGAGTTGTAAAGATATTCATTTTTGTGTTCTTCATTTTATGCCGATTTTATTGTTTTGTTTGATCATAAGTTGTTTAGAGTTTGGGCTCGCCAGGTGTCTAGTTTTGTTTTGTATAAAAGACGTATACGTGAAAAGATATTTCGTATAAGTGGTTGATAAATGATGTGGGTTTTTAGAGTGTAAATAATGGTCAGAGTTCTTTGTTTATGGTGTAAATAATAATCAGAGTTTGTTGTTTAAATATATATGTATTTGAGATAAAACAAGATAAAATACCTAAAAAAAATAGTGTTACCTAAACAATTACACGCTAGTTTTCCAACTGAGAATATTTCAATTTTATGTCAGGCGGTGCTGCCCAGCCCCCATATCTTGTAAATTGGTTCAAGTATTTATTAAGATTAAATAACAGTCTCCTGACATACTGTATGCAGCAAGAAAACAATGGAAAGATGGTGTGTTTGGTAGGAGAATTTAACTTGCATAATACACGTGACAGTTAAAAAAGATGAAAACTATATAACTAAGTGCTGGGCCATTTGTTGTGAAAGTTTTGTTCAGCTGCCGAGGGAGACTAAAGCTAGAGTTGTAATGGACTTTGATTAATTAAAGCAAATCATAGAGTATAAACCGCGGCTAATTGTATAGTTGATACCTTTCAAATAAAATTGCTAACATTTTGTCAATTGTTTACCTTTGTTTTGTGTTATTTAACTTACTAAAACACAGGATAAACATAAATATGATTCAATACACACTAGTTCACTATGAAATGCATAAAGTTTATTGTATAAACCTGTGTTATGTGTAATTGTACTTTATTAAGCAGACAAACTTTTCTTGTTTTAGTTTCAATCCATTATCAAGAGTTAAGTATTTGTATAAATAGCTCAGTTGTGTCATTTTGTTGCAATCTTTGATTACTTTTTATTATCCAGATAAATTTACAATGTTATAGTGATGCTTTAATCATATCAAACAACTATAAATTTCAATCAGGAATTACCACATTTATACTTTATATTACATACTCAGGTGTTTAAGGTTTTAAAGTCAGCACTAATAACACATTTATATCAATGATTTTTAATATTCTTAACGAAAACTCGTTTGTATCTAATGTAAAGAATATAAAGCTATATATAATGAGGCCCGACATCGGGTGCACCACAACTTACTTAACTACTCGTCTGGTATTGTTGTTTTGAGTTTAGTTTTATATCTCAAATGATTTTACTTACAGGAAAAAAAATATTCATTTCACAGTCTTGGAAGTAAATCTTTTACTCTATGTTGTAGCCTTACGGGCGTCAGTGATCGATATATTAGGTCGAAGACATGCACATCAGTTTTGTCAATGCTTTAGACGATATTACCTTGGTTCTCATTTTAGCTTTCCAAATTTAACACGTAACAGTAACTATCTTCCAAGTTATATAACACTGCATGTACGTAAGCTTCAGGTACGTTATCAGTTCTAAATTCATATAGATGAACCTTTTACCATTTTCTCCAAGAATGCGTAAAAATTTTAATATATATAAGCATGTAAAATTTGACTAATGCGAACATAAATTCCATATTCAGCCGATGCAAAATGATAGTAATACTGGATTGATACACTTCTGTTTGAAGGCCCTTACGCGCACCAAAAAGCAGTAAAAATGACTTGAAAACGCTTAAAAGTACGAGCTAAAAAGGAATCGTGCTTTTGAATGTTTTTTTTTTTTTGGGGGGGGGGGCGTTGTTGTTGTTGTTGTTTTCTGTTTGTTTGTGTCCTGTTGTGTTGTTTGGGGTTTCTTTGCATACAAAACAGCTGTTGTATTTTCACTTTCCTACCTGCTCTTTTGTCTTTGTGCTCAATATGTAAAAATTATACTTGAAAAAAAAGAGAGAAATATTACAAAGCACAGAGGGCTTTATGTTAATATAGTGACAGACAGATATGCCGCATAAAGCTTACTTGACTGACTATCTTTATAACTTTATATCATTAGAATGATCGATTTAATTGCAAATTTATTCAGTAAAACAAACAACGAGCAAGTTCATTTCAAAACTCCTGTATTATATAAGAATGAAGAATGAAGACTGTACTCTATAAGAATGAAGAATGAACACGTTTATATACATAGGTTTAAAAAGATCCTTTTGTTTTATATTTCTAATAAATTAATAGTAAACGATACTTTAGTTTGTAATTACGAAGTGGACAATGAAAATCCTTCTCACATTCAGTTTTATCTGTAAATTTAACGGTACATCAAATCGCCAAAAGACGGCCTGTGGTCGAAAAATCATATCGGTTACAATCGAGATGGTATTATGCGTTTGGCTAAAAACAACTTCTGAAAATGAAATGAAAGCATTAAAATGGAAATGAAATTAAATGAAATATAAAATCTTCACTAAAGCTTTTGACTAAAGCATGTCTTTTGATTCCTTTTTTATGTGTTTTTCACAAGAAAAATTGAATATGAATAAACAAGAATGTCCTTTTTAGCTCGACTATTCGATAAGAATAAGTAGAGCTATTGCAGTCACCCGAGCGTCGGCGTCGGCGTCGGCGTAACCACTTATGTTAAAGTTTTTGTAATAGTTCAAATATTTTCAAAGTCCATTGACATATGGCTTTGAAACTTTGCACACTTGTTCACCATCATGACCCCAACCTGTAGACAGGAGGAGGTAACTCTATCAAGCATTTTGACAGAATTATGCCCCTTTTTCGACTTAGAATTTACGTTAAAGTTTTTGTATAATAGTTCAAATATTTTTCAAAGTCCATTGACATATGGCTTTGAAACTTTGCACACTTGTTCACCATCATGACCCCAACCTGTAGACAGGAGGAGGTAACTCTATCAAGTATTTTGACAGAATTATGCCCCTTTTTCGACTTAGAATTTACGTTAAAGTTTTTGTAATAGTTCAAATATTTCAAAGTCCATTGACATATGGCTTTGAAACTTTGCACACTTGTTCACCATCATGACCCCAACCTGTAGACAGGAGGAGGTAACTCTATCAAGCATTTTTGACAGAATTATGCCCCTTTTTCGACTTAGAATTTACGTTAAAGTTTTTGTAATAGTTCAAATATTTTCAAAGTCCATTGACATATGGCTTTGAAACTTTGCACACTTGTTCACCATCATGACCCCAACCTGTAGACAGGAGGAGGTAACTCTATCAAGCATTTTGACAGAATTATGCCCCTTTTTCGACTTAGAATTTACGTTAAAGTTTTTGTAATAGTTCAAATATTTTCAAAGTCCATTGACATATGGCTTTGAAACTTTGCACACTTGTTCAACATCATGAACCCCAACCTGTAAAATTGAAATTAAATTAAATGAAATATAAAATCTTCACTAAAGCTTTTGACTAAAGCATGTCTTTTGATTCCTTTTTTATGTGTTTTTCACAAGAAAAATTGAATATGAATAAACAAGAATGTCCTTTTTTAATTTACAACTAATATACATGTATGAATTACTTACATTTATTGTTTTAAGCTAGAGCACTGGGCAGTTGTTCTGAAGATGTAACTGAACTATCCAATATGCCTCTCCGTCAACTAAACAGGTTGTGGGGAGAAGAAGGAAATCTTGGTATCAGTGATGACAATCTGAATTATGAGTGGTACAGAGTTGTACATAATGGATGGCAATATATTATGGTTGACTCGACCAATACACCTAATTATACGAGCTGTTCTACATACTATCCCGTATATTTGAAAGGTATTTCTCGTCAAAAGAAATAAAATTTTAGTATAAGGCAACACACAATAGGTTTAAAATGGTTAAATATAGGCTTTTGGCTTGATTTAACTGAGTTTTACTTTTTTATCCTTTGACTAATTGATAAAGTTGTTATAATAACGTTAATATAAAAAGAGAAAATCATAACTATATGAAAGCCAGATAAAAAGGACTTTCTTTTTATCTTGTCCACAATCTTTATGAGTGTACAACTTATCTTAAAACATTACATTGTATATTACATATAGATACACACCCGATGATAGATTCATTAACTGAAACACCAAAAATTGTAGTGGCTTGTAAACGTGATTATTTGTATCCATGTGATATACAGCATCAAGTGAAGATAAGGAAATGTGGAGATGAAATACAGTACTACCTGCCCCCGACAAAGTCATACAGTGCATTCTGTTTCAGTAAAGTGTATACGTTTATATTTTAATGTACAAAAAGTTCAATAATAATGCATTGGTACATAAGAATGTCTTTTATAGTAAACTTTCAAAAGAATACTGACATATAAGCGATCAAATCATTATAAATCTACAAATACCTCATGCTTATATTTTTAGTGATAAGAAAAAACTGATTCTTAATTGCTTAATAAGATTTTTAAAAAGTGATCTAACGAAACACATTAAAATTCTAATGAGTCTTTATTTCAGAAAATCATTCAAAACTGTATACAACACCTGATATATCAGATGTTGTACTTGGAAACATAGGCATAGCACCAGAGCTCAGATTCACAGAAACTGTGAGTGATTCTCCATTTGGAAAATCTACACGTTTCGACCCGTATTTTCAGTTCCGATGTTCGTTCAATGTACAAGAGGCTTTCTATTATAAAGTTAGCTGGTAGGTTCAGACTTGTCGTTATTTTTCATTTGTTTCATTGACACTTCAAAACTCATAAAGCGACTTTGGATTTTTGTTATGATTAATGCTCCCGAGTAATTACTTTGTTTCCAGATTTTTAAACTTCACAACAGCAGGTGTCAAGTGCTATGTGGCAGCTGTAAAAAGTTGCCACATTCTTCAAGTCAGTGATGTTATATTTTTCTGGTTCCTCGGGATCATTGATGCCAGCACTATTAAGTGTTGAGAATTGAGTACCGTTCGTACTGCTCAAGCCGGTTCTAAACGGCGTGAGGGATGTTGCACATATTCATTTTCCTTCAAGTACAGACTCAATCAAACCGAATCTGCAATTTTCATGTAATTTTGTTGTGATTAATGCTTCCGTGGTATCACTTTGTTTCCAGATTTTTGGAGCTTAATTATTGGTAGGGACCTCCAAATGTGCTGACAATTTAGTTCAAAATTCGAGTATAGAACATTCCGGATAGAGGAATTTATATTGTGTTCGAAAATATAAACATGCAATTTAAAGATATGAATTGCTCAAATTTAATTATAGAAAATATTGCTTATTGCTATACAGTCGCATTGCTAATATAAAATAAACATATTTGACTTCATACACATTTGATATGGTGTGTTTAAAACTCTACACACTAGAGGTGGTAACAATATAAAGTGTTGAGAATTGAGTACCGCTCAAGCCGGTGCTAGGGGGCGTGAGGGATGTTGCACTTATTCATTATCCCTCATGTACAGACTCAATCAAACCGAGTCTGCAATTCTTATGTTATTTTGTTGTGATTAATGCTTCCGAGGGATCACTTTGTTTCCAGAATATAATAGTATCAATAATAAAACGACTTGCAGTTTTTTTTAAGAAAAGACAAACTTTACTTGACATGTGAAAGGGAACGCAGCTTCCCATACTCAGTTTATACATTCTTTTATTTAAATTATACAGAGTGAATAAGAATTTCATACATTTCAATAAATGTCTGCAATTAAAATACTTTACTCAAGGATGATAAAAGTTTATCTTTATGCCATTTGAAAATCTTAATCGTAATTATGGCACATGTTGTTGGATATCGCCTTTCGGCATTTATAAAGTTTTGAATACTAGACAATAATGATTCCTTCAAAATTGTATTGAATATCAAGAGTGTTTTGTGATTTTTTGGAGCGAATTATATTATGCTATTAAATGTTTTACAATAGAAGCCAAATTTTTATCAGTTCAATATGATACGCATCTGAAATCTGAAATCGAAAGTTCTGAAATGATGTTTTGCTTGTTTGTTTGATTGGGTCAAACTGTTTAGGTCATATGGCGACGTTCAAGCTTTGCTGGTGGAGGAATACCTCAGGTGCCCTTCTGTGCATTATTTTAGGCACGTACAGGCACCTGAGTAGAACCACTGACGTTCCGTAAGCTAGCTAGATAGCTCCTCACATGAAGAATCCAAAGTCCATGTCGGGATTCGAACCCACAGCGGTGAGGGTATATGTTTTGAAAGGATGTTGTAGTCGATTATTAAAACACATATATATTATCTGTCATTTTGACTAGGTATGTGGACGGGGCCCTTTTAGTTTCATATGGTCCTACAACAGACATAAATGGCTTACTTTTTCACCAGAGTGTGCTTATAGACAACAATATAACAATGGGATTCGATGTAAGTATTGTATAATGACATCTAAACACAAGATTTATTTATTTATTTTGTACGTCTATACTTTATATGTTGTTGTTGCAATTCTGGTTTTATTTTTTTCCCCTTTTTTTCATTTTAAGTGGTCACAAAAGTATGTATAATGATGTTTTCATATATCAGAATGTTCAGTATTGTTTGAACTTATTGTTTTTTAAATAAAAAGGATTGAATAGATTGACCAATATCATAATAACAAATGTATTCTTAATGTTACATAATTGTAAATAGAACATATATTTATAGGAACAGAACAAATGCCATAGAAATTTTAAGTTAGACTAACATATATATATTTAAACTCAAGGTCATAGCAAAAGTGAATGGTGAGATTGTGCCTTATTTGAATACTTTGACTATCTTATTACTGTTTTCAGTCATGTTTTCCAAATTTTGACTGCACAAAAGGTCTGAAAATAAAAGGACTAGTTTGCATCTTATATGCAGTGAATAAATATCTCAATACCATAGACAGGGGTTAGGGATGCTGACAAACACTTCAATAATAAATAGGTACTACTCCTACTACTGGGTCATATGTTATGAAGTAATTTCACAATTATCTGACTGTTTTGCAAAACCAATGTCCAAATGTTACCTATCCTTTTCATAGTTTTAGTCTGTCTGATAAAGGATGAAGACAAAGATAATGGTGAAGGAAAAAGATACAATAGATAGGTCATTGTAAAATGTTGCCTCACCTGAAACTACAATCTGAAACTACTAGTTTTTCACCCATTTGTGATAACCATCTCGGCTGAAATACTAAATATTTATTGATCAAAACAATAAGCATACATTATCTTATATCAACACATTTGGCCTATGATGGTTATTTATTAATGATTATTTATTATTAAAGAAATGAAAGATAAATCTAAATGTATCGATAAATTCTTCGCAAGTATTGAATGTAAAGTTTACGACATAATTAATTCTAACTATGCATTATTCAATTTGATAGATGTATTTAATGTAACGTAAAAGATGATTTGTTTTCTTTGTAAGTTAAGAGAAATATTTTATTCATTATTCATTTATATTTTGGTCCGATATGGCTGAAGGAACCTTTTAAACAATTACATGTCCAATTTCTTATAGTTCATGTGACCACAACTTTATAAACAGCTTAAATAACATTTTGTTTTTCATCTGATATGGCATTAAAGTTTTGGATAAGACCCGTCACGAAATTTAACCATAATAGCTTACCTTGATTCAACCTTATTTTTCATTTGCAAATACCCTTGTCCTAATTAATTTTTATGTATTTTGCAATAAAACAATTATTTTAGTATCGTTCTATGCCATTTAAAATATCAACGCATAAATACCGTCATTAAAATTGCCTATTGAATTATGAAACATCAATTACGCCGACAACAGTCGGCCATGACATTAGTAGCTACACGAGACCTAGTATGACGTCATTCATGGGAACCGATTAGAGAAGAGTCGTGGACTATATATAGAACATCTTGGTTGACATGATTTCAATATTTATAATTCAAGATAATGTTTTTATTTATTTTCTTTAATTTGTTTATTACTTAAGAAAATATATTAAAATCAAAAGTCAGTTTATCCCCTTTTTCAATATCTTTCAAAAGGTAATTTTCAATAAAGTTGGAAGCACATGGTTTCTGTTGTCTTGACCGTTTGCGCAAATTAACCCGTAACGGTCAATCTCAAAATCACGTGGTCAAACATGTTGGCAATATGGCGGCCGAGTGCTGAATGTTTTACCTGTCCGAAACTATTAGGTAGTTTATGTTTGCAATAAGCTTTTTTATATGGTCATTATTAGCTTATCAACAGATTATATATTGTTTTATCAACGTATCCTTCACTTTACTTCCTGGCATGTTCGATGAATGAATACGAGCGTGTCAGATTCCTGGCACGATTATTGGTAGACTTTCCCTACGGCATTCACGTCATGTCATAGTTTATTACCATTCCAGATTTTCTAGCCCCTTTTTGATTGGAAATTGATCCGCCGAAAGAAATTGGTATTCCCGAGCCAGATTGGGAATATTCACACTAAATTTCCGCGTTGTAGACAACATGCGCTGTGGCGATGCGCATACGGTTCGATTATACGCGGTGTAAATTCCAATATACAAGCACGTTTTAACTGCCAAATTAAATAATATTTACCCAAATAGAGTCATGTTAAATATTCTCATCAGTATTGAAAACAAATATGACCTCGTCAGAGCTTGATATAAATTACAAAAAAGTCATCAACAGACTACTTCCTTTCTCATGTTTACATTCGTTAGGTACCAAAGCAAATACGTCATGTATTTATGTGACGTCATATTGTGGTGAAGGGGTACCCTAAAGGGAATCTATTTAGACGTCTCGTTTGAAACAGTAATAATTTATTTTATAATTGTCTTACTCGGCAGGGATGGGGTAATAAAATCATAACTTTTGGTTGCGAAGTGATACATGTGGATAAATTACCTGCCGAGATAAAATATCACCCGGCTCGGGTGATATAAAATCTTAGCAAGTGATATATCCACATGTATCACTCCAAAACCAAAATAACATATGATATAAACGGGTACGCTGAATACCTTAAGCTAAAACTGGTGACACTTTTGACTCCTTGCCCTCCTTCTTACGAATGCCTTCGCTGTAGAAATATGTTTTTATCCGTATTAAGAAATGTTTCTTTTTTGTCTGTACGTAAGCTAAGTAATTATGTTGTCTAGGATTATTTTTAGCCATTTTATAGAAATGATTATGAACAGAAAAAAATCAAAATAGTCAAATACTGATTATTTACTTTTGACCTTCGAAATGACCTTGATAACCAGATGTTTTTTAACCTTTGAATTCCAAGGCAAGTGTTCTGTTTCTAAAAATAAATATGATATTTAAAGTTATATAACACTATTTTAAGAATACGTTTGATATAATGAATGAACAAGCTACGGTAATCTTGGACGCCATCTTGGATTTCTTAACCCGGTCCATCGGCAGACACTAGTCATTTATTATAATCATATACTACCAGCGATACTGAACATTTTAATATATGACAACGTTTGTAATAGTTAGTGACTACGTAATAATCATTTAAGCTCGATTGTCACCCTGCTATTAAATGTTCGTTTTGAATACTTCAGGATAAAATACAATGAAAGACCTTTGTAGTACTCTTTGCATTTTCTTTATATATTTTATATAATGTATATAATATAATTTTTCTTTTGCTTAGATTTATTGTGGAGTTAGTGCTCTTACGTCTGAAGATGCGGATGCCGGTGTAACAGAAATGGTGTTTAGTAAAAGCTATTTTGCAGGCATCAAAGTAAGTGTATAGTTTAAGAATACAAGTAACCACATTTCTAATTGGTTTCTTACTTTTCCTATTTGTTTTTTTTTTCAGTCATAAGTCTTCGCACATTGATTGAATGTATTTTCGATGTTCGACTAGACTGGAATCAACTTTCAGTATACAGCAGATATAAACTATAACCTGTTTCTTAAATGTCTACCGTTAAGCGCGTATGAGCACATCTGCGGATGTTCAAAATCCAAAATTGCACCATTTACATGATTAAATGTTAAATTCTGCAGATCACCAGTGTATGTTCATGAGTGCCATAACCAAAAGGCTAACCTAAATAAACCAATTGAAATCAACGAAGTACGAAAATACCAAAATTGTAACAATCTTGCCAATGAAGGCAATTCTATACCAAAATGAAAAATTCAACTTAATATATCTTCTATTCTGAGGTAAATTTTCTTCAAATCTTAATTCAAATATCCGGACAAATACTTGTTAATACAACTATTAAATTTGTCCTGACAAAAGTTGAAATATCGAGGGGTAGACAAGTAAGTCGGTTTCGAACATTGTACTTTATTCACGACAATGCAATGAAATTGATCACAACTGCTGCCTGATAAAGAGTAATCATGAAAAATATCATTTCAGCTTCAAAGTAGCCTTATTCACCAAACCATAGTCCTTGCTCTCTTTCTTGATCTAGTTTTGAAAGAACGTTCAATTAGGCATCCGAGATGACAATGAAATGCATTTTGTAGTGTCATTTAACAGTATGTGCATGTTATGCTAAAAGATGCGGGTTTTCTGTTTTACACAATTAACTAGATAATCTATTTATGCTAAAGAAGAGTTTGATGAATAGATATATTAAGCAGATAATGTTTTTGTCTCATAATGCACATTGCAGAGCTCAAATAGAAAAATAAATTGTCTATAATAATATTCTTTTTGAATAACTGTGATTTATCAGATATAATTTTGTGCTTAAGATATAATCTGTTACCATACAGGTATCAAGTACAAGCATCAACATTAATAAAGGGGACACAGCGGTTCTTCAAATGACGTCAACAATGCCAATAGGCTGCGGATATGACGATGCAGTCGATGATGGTTGTATTGAAAATTTTCAAATATTTAATAAAGATAATGAAGGATTTCAATGCCAAGCTGGTGTTGCTAATTTAGCCTTGCAACCAAACCAACGATGTTCTAATGGATTACAGGTATTCTTTATATTAGCTTAAGGTATGCAGCGTACCCGTTTATATGCTAAGACATGACGTGAACGCTGAAGACAGATCCTTAGGGAAACTCCACCAATAATCGTGTCAGGAATCTGACACGCTCGTATTCATTCATCGAGCACGCGATGAAGTAAAGTGAAGCATACTGATAAAGTTATATACAATTAATCAATAAGCCAAGTGTCAACAGTTTAAAAACTTAATTCGAACATAAACTAACTTATAATTTCCGATAAGTGAAAATATTCACCGTTTCGCCACCATCTCGCCAAAATGTTTGATCCTGTTAGTACGAGATTGACCCCGGGTTCATTTACATATGCTTGGGCGGTTACGAAAACAATGCCGTGTGCTTTTATTTTATTTACTTAATACTTTGTTCCCAAAATAATAAAATGTGATATACTGGCTTTAATTCTACTTCCTTTTTAAGTACTGTAAAGTAAAACAACAAAAAATATGTAATCTTGTCTTGAGTATTGAAATCATGTCATGTCAACAAAGATGTTCTAAATATAAAACATGGCAGAACTCGAAGCAGTTCCCGCGAATATAGTCATACGATGTCTCGCGTAACTCCTGGCCCCGTGTTCACTAAGAAAAGATCAGGATCAGGATCAAGTGATCCTGATTTTATTTTCATTGCTTAATGTAACTAAAATTAATTGTGTTTTGTTGAATGAAATTGTAAATATATAAAATGTAAAAAACTGCTGATTTGCATAGAAACCAAACTATTTTGGGATAAAATCAACAAATAACAAAACAAATGCAAAAATATTTGGATCAAAATAAAAATCAATTTTAGGATCAGGATCAATATTTGGATCAACTGTAAAATGCTCATATCTTGCAAAAATAACAATAAATTTATTCTAAAATTTCATAAACTTGCTATTTCAAGTCAAGCTTTATCAAATTAATATTATATATTTTATCTATGAGGGTTAGCAATGAAGAATATTAGAGTTTTTAAATTTGATCCTGATCTTGATCCTGATCCTTAAATCTTTGTGAACACGGGGCCTGAGTGTCAACATCAGTCGGTTTAATTGATGTTTCGCAGTATGTTATTATATAATAATTGACATTATTAATGTTTTGATAATCTAAATAGTCTTAAACGATGTTGAAATGATATTTTTATCAAATAACACGCAGGAATAACTAGAAAAGGATATTTGCAAATTTAAACAAGATTTCACCATCGTGTCTTATTCTGGTAAGGTTTCATAACGGGTCCGAACCTTACTTTAATGTTGCATCAGACGATAGAAAAAAATGTTTTAAAAGCAGATTATAAACTGTTGGAAGCCAGAAATATCTTTATATTATCTTTTATCATGTCATTACATTGATTTCTGTTGATAAAGTGCATGCCTGATAAACCTAGCTTTATCAGTCACCCCAAGCTTTATCAGACACCTCATCAATACACATTTTGACCTTGACGGAACTACTTTTTTCGGGTCATTTCCGGTCTACTGTTTACATTGGATACTAGAAATACTACATATTTTGATACGATGAAAATAAAACATTTAAAAAACACACAAAAAAATTGTTACTGTTTTATTTTTATTTTGTTGTATTGCTTGACACTTTTTAATAAATTAAAAAAAAATAAAAAAATTATTGGCATCAGTCCGCAATCCATCCACTGGACCATCAGCTACAGTTACACGGTCAGATTCTCCATCGCCTTTTACAGATCAAACTGGCACTGTTACAAATAAGTCATTAGAGTCAATTTCCATATCTCATTCTCCAGTTTCAACGGAGTCACATGGCCAAATGAATCCTGGCCAAATCAGTTACCCCACCCACTCATCACAGCAGATTGCTTTATCCAGCAACAGCTTAAATTCCATATTTTATTGCGCAGTATTGCATGTTAACAACCTGAATGTTTATTCAAGTCGGTAAATTCACTTTAAAAAATATAAACACTTGACGATGAACTGGCAAACTTAAAATTTCAATTTTCCGTGAAATCAGCTGTTCAACACTGTTCAACGACATTTTCAAATCTTGTTTACTTTGTGTTTTCTCATATCCTGTTCATTATTGGAACACTGATATGTCTCATGAAACGCTTGATATTGAATAAAAACACGTAAACTTATTTTGTGAATTGATAAATCCATTTAACCCAGACATTATATCCAATTTTCATCTATCGATTACGCTCGTTCAACGTTCGTAATCCATACGTCGGTAAATTCAAGATGGCGACATGAAACCAAAATATCAAAAATATGCGAAATTTGCGAAATGAAATAAAAAGAATGGAATATTTTTTCCTGCTACTGGGTTGGGAATATTTAACTGATAAACTTTGAATCGAATAGAAATTTTGAATATGAACGCGTCACTTACAATTAACTAAAACATTTGGGACTATTTCTTTTTGATTTGACATTTCACATATTATTGCGCGTCGTCTGAACACGAGAGGTTCTGGATAGGGTTTTGCTTCAATTAAAATAATAAAAAAATCAAACAACGATTGAAATTGACAACATGATAAATAGAATACCAAACAAGTGTCTGATTTTATAAAATTTATCAAGCTCGGCACGAAAAAAAATGAAGAGCTCGGCAGAGCCTCGCCCTTCATTTTTTTCTTAGCCTTGCCTGATAAATTTTATAATATCAGACACTAGCATGGTATTCTCTATTTAAATCTAAATGAAGAAGATGAATAAACAAATTGCGAAAATAACATTATGTAATTCTTATCTGTTTAAATAAGATAGCACAGTTTACAAGTTATATTATACACATGTGTTTTAAATTTCATTTACTGCTTCTTGTAAGTTATTTTGTATAATCTTATAAAAACATATTTTATTTTAAAACAGACTCTGAAAAATGGATCAATTTGGGACTCTGATACAGTGTTTAATTTCTCTATAGTGACAAATTTACGGAAACTTAAAGATAAAATTTTTTCCTGTTTTTACTTCCCTAATCAATGGGACATGATTTTGGGGAAATTTTAATTTTTATGTCAAGGTAGTCTTACATTAGTAGCAAAAATATATATATTTTTGGGGTTTAAAATTCTTTTATTTTTTCAAAAATATATTTTGTACATGATATTATATTTAATTCTGATGCTTATAAATATCCGTTTGTGATATTTTTATTATTTTTTAAAGTGACGTGTACATAAAGATTCAACTAGCTAACTATAATAATCCAGATAAAACAAGTAACAGTATTGCCAAGCAATAAACTTCAACATATCTACGATCCCGCAGCATAATCCCAATCATCTAAAAGAAAAGAGACATAAATTACAAAGAAAAATGGTTTTTTTTTTTTTTAAAAAAAAACGAAATTGTTTTCTAATTTCTGAAGGTCTCCTCGGAACGTTGAAAGTTAATACACTTTGTGTAAGAAATGGCACTTTCTTTGAGTTTTGTTTTCATTTTTTATCAATATTCTCATGTCAATAGCCAATGTTCAAGAATGTTTTAACTTTTTACTTTACTACTACCCCGGCGCCCTTTTATTGCGTGTACATTTAAAACGAGGTGCATGCAATTCATATACCAATCTTTTTTATAAATTTAGTTTCATTGTTCTTATATTTAAACATTTAAATATGAAAACACTTGAAATAGAATTGGAATATTAGGTTAAGAACTAGTTTATAGCACTGTTGTAAGATACCGCAAAACATACATTGTAGCAATAATGTTGAAATTTTGTTTTTAAAGGTTATCGTATCTGACAATGGAGAATACAAAAACAAGATATGTTATTCTCATATAGATCCACATATGAGATCAGCCGACGGCGTGTAAGTCTTTGTATAACTTAATCCGTTTTTTTTAAAGATTTAATTTCCTATTGTTTTAATTCCCATTATTTCACCATCTTTTCACGGATTAAACGCAACTTTTTTTTTTCATAATCATCATGATTATGTAAATTCTTTTAGAAGGAGGTAAAATAATAAGTCAACTGAATTTTTGAATTTAAAAAAGTGATATAAAAGTAAACACAATCGTTTTGCAATCACGTACATAACGAAATCACTTGTTATAATTTCTCTAAATTTTTAGATATTACGAGCAACAACGTAAGAACGGTCAGCTTTTCCCGGGCGTGTTCCTGTTATATAATAACACACAGTATGGAATCGAGGTGTGTATGTGAAAGAACTTACTTGATTTTCTTAAATCTTAAAATAAGATCATTAAAATTTATCTTGTATGCATAATTCATCATTAGAATTTATGACTAAAATATTAAAACGTTATCTTTTATTTGACATTTGAGTGTTGATAAGTGAATGTTTAAAGAATATATAAGGTGTAAATAATATTTAATCTTAATGTGAAAGAAAGCATTCCAAGTGTTAGTTATAGTTATAGTACAGCGACGAAACTGTTATGTGGTAATATTATGGCCTGGGCAACATCGAGAGTCTTTCTCTACAGAAAATGATCGAGGACATTCTCTGTAGGGAAAAACCGAGATACAGTCCCAGACCATGATATTTCTATATAGCCGTCGAGTTCGACATATTAAAATTTTCTTTATAATTTTTTAATTTCAATTTATATTTTGCTTACCTTAATAAATAAAAGCCCTCACTCGGAACCTCGGTTACTGTTTATGGTACATGTCACTGGCCGATTTTTGTTTTTTCTTATTGTTAACACCATAGCGTAAGGGCCAATTAAAAGCATGGTATGTGTTTCCGACTGGTAAGATGACCATATTTCACATAAAACATTGCTGTAAATAATTGTGACGCGCAAGTATTACACTAACCGCCATTTGATCAGCATTTTTCAATGACATGCCAAAAGATGTCATTTGTAATTTATTTCAATGAAAACGATTACTGTTCTTGGGATTTGAAATGGATGATATTGCGGGTGTTGCTACTATATAAAAAGTGTGCGTTAGATATAGCACTGTGCTAACATTATATGTAAATCATGTTACGGGCGTGTAACAGGTGAGGAACATCAAAGAAAAATCGCCGCACCATGCGATAACTTGAATTATGAGAAATGTTGTACTTTCGATTATCATTAACACAAAGACTCAATCAAATTGGATCTGTATATTTTTAATCTCACAGGAGAGATATTTACATAATATTTCAGATTTAATGTAGCTTTAAATTCGTACTGACAGGTTCAACAACAAACTAAAAGCTGTAACAGTGGATGGGCAACTTGCGCATGTGGTATTGCAATTCGAGCGGGTAAAGATGTTTTCATGATAAATAGATGTGGTAGTGTCAACTATCTCGGTTTTACAAAATGCGAAGATGGAGGGATTTTACAAGTTGTAAAAAGACATGATTACAAGTACGATGTAAGTATGTTGTCAAAAAGTGAACGATTAGTTAGCAAGTTTAATGCCACGATATGTGAACAAATTTGCAAATGCTAAATTCATCCAACATTTGTAAGCAAATGCAGGATGTAGCTGTTTTAACTGCATCCACTGACCTGAAAAAGCAATATACGCCAGGAGAACTTGAATCATGTCGTATTTGTGAATTTAATTATTTTGTTTGTTTTTTAAATTGTTCGAACATTTATGCTTATCACTGAACATTATAGTTAACGTATAGAAAACTGTCAAAGCTTCATCAAATAAAATGTTTAACTGGAAAGGAACTTCAATGAGGTTCAACAGACAACTTGGTTTTTAAATAAATGTCACTAAATTTCCACACAAAATCACTATTAAATAACTTAAATGATAAATGCAATATAACGATTCCTTTAACAACAATTAAGCTAGAAAATAACGCAAATTTTACCCGAGCTTTTTGGGCAGTAACGTAGTAAACTGCTTTGTGTTTAATATATATCATCAACAAAATTTGCAGAAAAATATCTCTGAGTTTCGGATCTGTCTACACACACATAAAAATCATTTACTAGTTACATCGCCTGAATGGCATTTTTATGGCCTACGTTCTTTAACTGTATGATTTAATTCTGACTTAATGCAACAAAACCAAGGCTGCAATTTTTATTTGTTTTGGTCGTCAGACCAAACAAATAATGGTAGCAAAATTTCAGACTCTAATGCTGTTAATTGCAATTGCCGAAAGTAGTCCGCTTATTTGAAGCGGCTACTTCCCATTAGATGTACACTAACGCCGAAACATTCAGGGGAGATCACTGCGTAAAGATGGTCAAATGACAGGCGCATTAATTTTCAAGTAAAATAATTCCCAAATGGTTGAAGATTTCTAATATTGTTTTATTCTTTATAGATATACATGCTTAATGTAAGCTCCATGATTATTTACATCTGTGTTAAACAACAGTTAGCGTCGTTACAAACCCTAATTTAGAATAATATGGTTTTGTTCAGGCCGTTAACATATACATTCACCGTGGCCGAGGGGTTTGCGCACTCGCTTAGGAAGCGAGATGTCTAGAGTTCAAATTCTAGTTAAGGCAACTCATTTTCTTTTACAAATTGTTAATCTTATAGCCAATTTACTACAATTAAAACGCTGGAAAGCATTTGTGGCACTATACAAAAACAAATTGGTTTATAATCTCACAACCTTCACCTTTCTGACATTCTGAGACCCAAACAAATTCAGCACCTTCTGTGCTTTGATTTTTAATGTTATCGTTTTAGACAATACAGGTAAAGAGCAGATCCTCATTTACACGCAATTACCACAGTAAAGCCGGAAAGTAAGAAGTAGATAAGACCGTCATGACTTATACAATGTAACCTTTAAGCTTTGAATGCAAAAATAAAGGAAGGGTCTAACACACATGCAAACGACTGGATTGTACTAAGTACTTTCTTTTTAATGTTCTTACACTCCACAAGTGGACTAAGTCACTTGCACAGTTGATATTATTATCGACAAAATACATAAAATGTGTTATTATTGTTTCCTTAAAAGGATTTGTTTATTCATATTATTGGAGCGAGAAAGGGACACATACATGTAGTCCGTAACTATTGTTAATTGGCAGTGTAACACCGTTTTTTCTTTCGTCTTTTTGTCATTGTTTTGTGTATATTGACAAAATAACTTGGCATGTTAAAAAAAGTTGTAGGGTGTGTTTCTTTATTTGTTAATAGTTTTTGTTTTTATTTTATTTTATTATTTTTCTTTGACAATATTAGGTATTCACACCCATTGGCACGAAAGTAACAATAACGCTGTTCAACGGATATTACGAAGGAACAATGAACATAGACATAATAATGGCACCTAAAGATTTGTATAACATTGAAGGATTGTGTGGTCAATTTGACAATAATCCTGCCAATGATTTTCGGCATAAAGACGGGACTATTTCAGAAATAAATAACGTCAATCGAAACAGTCATTTTGCAGACTTTACAGAAAGCTGGAGGTAAAAACACACTTTTGAGCGTTTAAAACTACAAGGCATACAAACAAAACATGACACTTAATAATTACCTCTAATTTTTGTTCTGCAATCTGCTTTAATTCCATATTTTTAATTGTATTAGTATTATTATTCTGTTTTCCAGTTTGACTTTAGCGGACACAAAACCACTCAACTTATTTCTAACAGGTAACAGAGCGTTAAGTAGTTGGGGTGATATAAATGGGATGTTTTGTATATGCGAAAGTCATGATGAGGTAGCAGAAGCAACATGCTATCCGACCCAGTATTTGAATTGTACGATGAGTAGATCAATAACTAGTGCAAAATGTAACGTACCAAGCAGACGAAAGAGAAGCGCAGATGGTAGTTATAAAGATGAAAAAGAACTCGACAGGTTACTTCAATTAATGGCTTCATCAGAACATAACACACTAGACATAAAACTTAGGACTAAGGTAATAGCATTCATGTTGTTTTCTCTGATGAATATGCATACTAGTATATATTTAATCCGTTCAGCACTTTGCACAATTCTAATTTTTACATTTCAAATAGTAATAACACCTTATTCCGAAAAATTTAATATTCAATTCATTATTTCATTCGTTCGTCCGTCCGTTTATCATTATAACATAAAAATGTTTCTACTGTTTCAAAGATCTTTACTCTGTCCTTTTTCTCCCCGTATAACCACAAACCATAACAATGTTACGAATTTCTAATAAGGATTTATTAATAGTCAAACATGCATCAGTACTAGGGTAATAGTACTTAAGTACCAGCACAAATACTTGCAAACTTACTCAGTATCAGTCTCAGTACCAGTACTAGATTTTTGTTTACTACTGTAGTACCAGTACTTTTGTTTTAGAAGTAATTATGTACCAGTGCCAGCACTTTCATAGTTTCAACCTATTTTACATAAAGTCAAACAGCAAAATACATATGACATTATGATAGTTTTTAAATTATATGTTACAACATAAGTAATGCTGGAAATAAACATTTGCAAAAATATTCAATTAAAAGAATGCACAAAATATTCAAGCAAATTATATTTTTAAGCTAAGCATATAGAATTTTAAGTGAGAAAGACAAAACCTCACTGGACAACACCCCACGATGTAATGTTTACATAGGCAAACAAACAATAAGATTTTAGGACAAAAAATATAGAGAAATAAAGAATCCATCCTTAAATGTCAAAAGCAGACAAATACCCACCCTTGCTTCAATGTTTCTTGGCGAAAAAAAAACCCTTCCCTAATATGTTCCTTAGCGGACACAAAACACCCTTAAATGCTCCTTTGTGGACAAAAAACACCCTTTAATCTTCCTTGGAGGACAAAACTCAATTTTAAATTTTTTTGGCGGGAAAAAATCCTAATATGTTTCTTTGAGGACAAAGACACCCTAAAATGTTCCTTGGCGGACAAAAAAAAAACACCCTTAAAAGTTCCGTCAAAGCAGACAAAACCCTCCTTTAAATGTTCTTAAACCAACAAAATAAATTATTTTCTTATGCAGTGCCATACATAAATACCTATACAATCCTTGAAAAATACATTTTTGTTGATACGCCTAGTATTCAACAATTTTAGAAATATTTTTGTATCAGTACGTGTAATGATGTGTTTAGGATGATCACCTCAGTCAGACTTTAACCACTTCAAAATTGTTCAGTTCACCATTAAGAACAACATACCACTGACAACCTGCAAAATGATGATGAAACAAATAAGTATAATCTTGTGCAAATAATAATTTTTGAATTTGTCAAATGCATACATAGAACTTGCCAGTCTTTTATCCATGCTAAAGGTGCATACAATTATAATAAGATAACGGTTAGCTTATGTGATCAATTTTTTAAATACTGTGGAGTTCAGTTACTTTTTAAAAAAATCCTGTTCATTCTTTCAAAAACCTAAAATACAAAAGCATTTATAAAGTTTTTTAGGAAATTACACTGTAAAAACAGTATCTCAGAGATGTATAAATCTTTGTAAATAGTACGTTAAGCAATTTGCAAGAGGTGTTAAGGTTTTTCTGGTCTGGATGGCAATGAAAATATAATGTAAAAAAATGCACTATTTTTACAAGCAATATTTACAAAAGTACCAATTCACCAATTCATGTCTAAGCTATTTAAATGCAAATATTGTATGACTGTTAAATTTAAATCTATTGGTTGAATATTTAGTTTGATGCAATACATTTAATTTTCATCTAAAATTTAACATCAATAAGAAAAGCGTTTTTTCTATTCACACCTTCATTGACAATAATAAATTTTTTCATCATTCTTTCCTATAAAACCTTCGCATCTTCATCATAACAACAAAAACCAGTCCCTTACGTTTTACAGAATACACAAACAAAATGTTACCATAATCCAAATTATGTTATCATCTAAAAGCTACATCTTCATGTAGTGCCATTCCATAAAATGGTTTTCTTGAATAATATAATCATAAAATTTAAAGTTTGATCATGAATTAATTGAATAATATATGAGATAAGAGTCAAATGCATTTCTTTTAATGTTTTATGAAAACCAAACTACCGACTTGGTACTGCACATTTTATGGACAATTATCAGTACCAGCTTAAGCAAAATTTCATGTGATTGCGATACGTACTGCAGTTCCAGTACCAGTAATACATCTCTGATAATGGTCTTTTAATAAACAATCCAACTTGAACACCTTCCAGCGACTGAAAGTCAGCTCCATTGTTTGATACTATATGTTATTTTTCTTTCCATTATGCTATAACAATGAAATGATGATTTCTCTTGTCATTTGACCAGCGCGAAGACGTCAACAATAACTTAATTACAGAAGCAGACGCTGAGGCGTTGTGTAAAGACAAAATCTCCGGTAGTCTGGCAGTGCAAGAATATTCAGAAGTCGGCGGCAATGAAGATCCGAACGAAGTTATAAGACAATGTACATTTGATGTAGTGGTAAGGGAACTATGTCATACTAATATTAAAAGACGACTTTTTTAAATAATTGTCGCAATTGTGATCAACAAAGACCATTTAAATAGTTGTCCTCATATTTAAAGCTGCATAAAATAAATTTTGTAAACATATTTTGCTATATGCTTAAAAACCAAGCATTCTATGTTTCGTCAACAGTTTTAACAGCATTGTTGTAAATTTCATTGAAAATTGTTCATAACTTATGGTTTTAAAATAAAAAAACCCAGGGTAACTGTAAAGTTCGTATATGAGTTTTAACATGCAAATGAAGAGCCATGTGGATCACAGCAAATATGATATATTCTTCTGTAAACAAACTTTTACCGTTTTAGTTTTATGGTCTTAACAAAAAAGTTATCATCTCATAAAAAATCGTATTTGTATGAAAACATTTGTAATATAATGCAGAAATATATCGGTAGATTAAAAATGTTTGTTGATTTTCTATTGATGTACGGATGGCCCAAAGGCGGAGTTTCTCATGCAAATAGATATTGTACTTCCGCTTATGCCACAATGAGGTTGCAGAATGTTTTTTATCTTCAATTTTATTTTAGGCTTATAAAACTCATTTTGGTTGTCTGTGCACCAAAATATGAACGGGAGTTGATATGAACATTTTTTAAGGAAATACAACTTAATACAGCTTTAAAAAGATTGATATTCACACACAAATATGATTTTGTACGTTTCTGATTCTATGATTTGATCTCTTCAATTTGGATAGAGTTTTACGACTCTAACAAGACTGCGAAAACCAGACAGCATCAAAACCCCTTCAATAAACCCCTTCAATAAACTATCGCTATGATTGATATTGTAAACATAAATTTGAAAATTTGTATATGCACTGTCAGTATTACAAAATTTCAATATCACTCTTATCTTACATTAGATAAATAATAAATTTACGAAAGGTTTTGTCAATAATTATTAATTTCAATTTAATATAATCTAGAAAAAACAGCGAGCACAAAAATGAATATATAACGTTTTGCCATGTTGAAGGTAGCGGTGCTTGTTTATGTCATCATTTTGCGTACAAAAAAAATACTGTGTAAATAATTCTTTATATATTAAAGAAAATTTTCATTTTTTAATATCAATCTTTCTTTTTTCAGTATGGAAATGATACGTCATGGGCTACAGCGCATGTAGAATCTGTTAACAATATTGTAAAGAACATAATAGATCTTGAGCCAATATACGTTGCAAATAATTCTGAAAAAGTTGTTATATTTTATAAAAATACCTGTCCAGGAAACTGTAGTAACAACGGTGATTGTACAGAAACAAGTAAGATCTTTATAGTAATGTAATACTTTTGTAAAACAGGTCTTTTATTTAAAGTTCATATTTGAGTGTAGTTTTTTATCGATTGAACAAACGCAGTAGTTTGTGTTAAATATAAAGTAAAATCATATCAAGTTTGTACTTCTGAGCGTTAGAAATGACTTGCAAATCAGGAAAAATATGTTGTACTGGAAAAATGACACCATTTAGCGAATGAAAAAAAATTTAAAAAGGTTAGCATGTACCTTCATATAATATATGAAGTATAATTGTTTTCTGTTGTATACTGAATTGCGATGTGTTGAATAAATTTAAGGAGTATTTATTACAGGTGAGTGTGATTGTTTTGGATTTTTCCACGGACCAGAATGTGACATAGATGAAAGAGATCCTTTAACCATTGACGACATCGAAGGTGGCGGAGAATGTGATCTGGCTGATGGTGACGAATGTTTATGTTTCCATATCAGATCTTCAAATATTCTTGAAGGTTTTAAATGTCAGGCCAATATTTCCAAGGTACATATTATTGTACAGTATTTTGTCTTTTGGAGTTACTGATTGCTATTGATGTTTGTTTTTTTTTCCATTCATTTCATTTATTATTTTAACAGTTTAAATCAAACCGATAATGCAAAGTCCTTTTCTTAATTAAGCTTTCTAATAATCGACCTTTAATAAAATGCTCTCGTAATGAGCCTGTTTTTATATTTATAAAAACAAAATGATGTACAAAACAACGATTAAAAGCAGAAAACAAGATAAATATTTGACAACAATAATTGATAAAGACACATTTTGTAAATTTGTAAAGATTTATTAATAATCTATTATAAATTGTATTCATTCACCTTATGTTACGAAATATGTTCTGTATTCTTCATCTTTACCCAACATGTGAAATTTAAAAAAATAAAATAAATCTGTGTTTGATGTTTTATAACACTCATACATTAAATTTCACCTTCAATAAGATATAACATATTATTTTTCTATAAAACGGCTTATATTCAAAACAGATATCAGTCACTGGTGGAAGAGAGCTATTATCCACAAAGTCATTCACAGGTGGATATGAAGATATTTATACTGGGGTGTGCTGTGTTCAAGACAACATAATTGGTACCGAAGGTGTATTTGTTACGAAGTACGATTTTTCAATCAGCAATAACGGTATTACCTACGGAAATGACGTGAGTGTTTATGTGTTCGACTCAACTTGCCAAGAGGGAGAGTTTACTTCTTTCGAAAACGCATCATTCAGTTTAAAGGTAAGAAATGCAAACTAGCAAATTTAAACTATCCCGAAATTAAGACTTATTCAAGAATGGGACTGATGTTGTCTAGCAAGGGAGTTTTTATCATTATGTCAATGGTTTTATATCTTGGAATCAAAACTTGCTCACTTTTGATCTACAATAACAACAAGTTCAGAAAGATTTCAATTTTCATACTTGCACTTTTATAATACGATTGACTATTCAGCCGGTTACCTGTGCCTGTGATAGTGACTGCTAAATTTGTACTGAGAAAAAAATGCTTTTTTTAAGCATAATGTCTTAGGTTTTTTACATAAAAGACCCGTTCAAGTAAACACTTGTAAATATGTACGATTCAATTAAGATTTATTTTATAAAAAAGATTAGAAACCTGTTTTCTTTCAGAAGAATTTGAAGAATTGTTTATAACTTATTTCATATGTATCAAATAATCACATATAGCACATAATGAATATGTGTGACATCATGTATGTTTGAGAACAAACTGATTCCATTTAAGACTGGGTTCTGTTTCATCAATGGATTTTGTGCAGCAGAAAAAGAGATGGCTCCTGTTGGCTGTTTAGCATGTCAGTCTATAAAGGATAAATATAATTGGACAGGTACGTTCTTCATAGTAGGCATGGTTAAATGGTGTTATATTTAAGACTTATGGTTAGATTGCGAACAGTTACTTTTTCAATTTACACATTTTGATTGTAAAATTATGTTGCCTACGCTGCAATGATACTGCCGTACAATCAAACTGAGGGGGTGTAATCATATTAATGTGTTATTAATCTTAAATTAATCGCTTTGTGTCATTTTAGCTCTTCTATGTAATACTCCTTAGGTATAGCACGTTTATTTTTATATTTCTTTTCACAGTTGTCTTCCTGTTTGTCATCTTTAATATAATTAGCAAATTCACGATGACTACATCGGTTTATGGACTCTTAGGAACAGCTTTCCTCCATTTGATTTATTTTTTTCAAAATAAACAACAATTTATTTTCACAGTATTTATCTTTTAATAAGAATAAATAAATATGATAGTTTTCCTTATTAATATGCATTTCTTTGACAATTGTTTACCCACGCCTTAATGTCCAATGTTTATATTTTTCTCGAGCTCTGTACGCCATTTATCATCAATGATGTTTCAGTATATAACCCATGCCAGAATGGTGGTTATTGTACTGACGACACTAACGGCTATAATTGCGTTTGCGTTGATGGATATGGCGGGAAGAATTGTGAAATCGGTAACATTTATACTTATTCAAGACATTAAATCTAAAGCAATTAATCAATTAAATAAATGAAAAATACCGAACCGTTTCTCTAGTGTTTTATGATTTTTAAGTTGACGTAATGTACCTCCAGCAATTGCTCTTAAATAGATCATTGTTCTGAATATATAACAAATTTTAAAAGAAGCAAGTTGTTGTGGGGCGGGATGGGGTAATATTATCGCTCATGAGCAGACTCGTTAAACCTATGCAATTTTCTATTTTGCATTGAAGTTTCTACCAAATTTTATAGATGTATAACTTAAGAATATAAAGGCATGTCCTACATTTGAATACTTATTTTGATAGGCAAATGTATCCCTACACTTAAAAAAATATTATACAACACAAGTTGTATATAATAGAAGTTTTAAGCAATGATTATTTGGAGTTTTACTTTTATGTTTCTTTTTTTTTCAAAATAATTACAGATATAGATAATTTTAAGCCCAAATCCATGTAAAAATAAAAGGGGAAACTTGAAAATAGTTTCATTTTTAAAATTTCCCTTACGCTTTTTCTTGCGTTTCCCCCGGTTTTTAATTGGTAAAAAACGGGTAAAATTAGTAAGTTAAAATATATTCATTGCTAAACAGCCCTTATTCTTTTTTCTTTTCCCTTCCCAACCCTAAATAAAATTTGCACATTTTCCTAAAAATTGAACAGAAAATTTGGGTACAAATTAAAATAAAATTTGTTAAACCTTTTTTAATTTTTTTAAATTTACCATTTTTTTAATTTTTCAAAAAAAAATTTTGATACATTTTAAAACTTTATTTAATAAAATTTTTTTTAAAACAATTGATATAAAATTTAAAATATTTGTCTAAACTATTGTCACTGAAATAAAATTGTTTTAATACTTTTTTTTTAAATATAGAAAAAAATAAAGTTAAAAAAAATTTTTTGGGAAAAAACCCGAGTGCGATTGAGTTAATTTTTGTCTATTTAATTATCATTTATTCTAACACGGCCCGCATTTTTCCCTAATGAACATAGAAGGACCGAAAGTGGGTGTGATTATCAAATAAAATCAGTGTTGACGTTCTATATTTAGACATGTGACGTAAGTATTAGATATGTGACGTAACCACTAAAAATGCAACGCTGTGTAAATAAGTAAGGAAACAAATCAAGCGCAATTTAGCTTAATATCAGGTACAGCAGTATTTTTCTGTTGCTGTCGTGTTAGAATCGAAATAATATAACTAAATCGGTGATTTTATCGCTAAAATCACAGTCTGTCGTTCGGGTGCGCATCATTCCTCGCATCTGAACTCAAAACAGTGATTTTGTTGAGAAATAAAATGACAGTTTGGGATGTATTATTTCTTAAGTTAATTAAATTTACAATATTTTGTCTGCTTGCACTTTTGACAAAACGAATCATTTTAATTCTTACTTCAATTTAAAGAAGTTGACATTATCAGAATTTGTGTTGGCAGCCTTTCCCAGCCATTTGAATTTGATATGAAACAACGAAAAAAATTTTTCTTCTATTTCATGCAAATAAATATCTTAATAGGGGACGTGGACTGTAGTTTGCACTTGAATCGTCCATGAACAGGCTCAATCAATCTGAGCCTGCAGCATTTTCAAGTTTGCGTTTTGGACTCTCTTTAGCGATTCATATGTTTGATATTTTACATATAAATGAACTATTTCAGATATTAACGAATGCTCGTCAAACCCATGTCAAAATAATGGGATATGTAATGACGGAATAAGTATGTATACATGCAAGTGTTCACCAGGTTTTGATGGTACTCACTGTGAAACAGGTTGGTACAATTAATTTCTTTGTAAAGGTTTCAAATTTTTACAAAGTATTGTACAATATAAGCATTCAAGCCAAAGCTAATTTATCGATAATAAAGGTTTAATTAAAACGCTAATTTAAATTTTATTCAATGTTATTAGTGCGTTTTTTTTTTCAACACAATATCTTATATAAAACACTATGCTTGTAACCATATTATACTCAAAGAATATCTTTCATTTTAGATATAGATGAATGCTTGACAAATCCATGTAACAACGGAGGTACTTGCACAGACTTTGTAAATGGATATACCTGCACATGCTTGGCTGGATATTTTGGAGTCAATTGTTCTGCTGGTACTTCTTTCTTATTATCTTAAGTCTTTAAATTACTTAAATGTTTCAATATCTTTAATGTTATCGTTAATATAGATAAAAATATAAAAAAAAAATTCTGATTTGTATACGTAGTCAAACGTATTCTCTAACTTTTTTCCTGAAATTCAGAAACGTTTTCAGAAATAATATGTATGATATAATTAAACTAATATTGTAAATACATTGTAATTTATCTGTTAAATTCCGAAAATTAAGACTTGAATTCTTGACCACCTATGCTATTTGTATTATGTTGTTTATTCATACGAAAATGATATCCCAGTTGTAGACAATTGTGAACAGAACCCATGTGAAAATGAAGGAACGTGTGAGAATATGATAAATGCACGGACATGTCATTGTGTTAATGGCTATGAGGGAAGTAACTGTGAAATAGGTAAATTACACTTACTTGTAATAGATGATACACTTAATTCTGAAAATATATTATTCAGAAGGTTTTGTATGCCTGGTGAAATTAGAAATGATGTGATGTTGATACAGTACGATTTGTCTTTAAAAGTGTTATAAGTCGTTTTTTATTAGAGGCTCTTTTATTATAGCTTTTTTATACTTTAAGATAAAAAATAAAGAATGTTTTCTTTATGTTGTATGAGTAAGTAGAAATATATTAATAGAAACATAAAATTTGTAAGTGAATGACAAAAGATTTGGTCAAAGCTGAATTAAGTTAATTACTGTAAAGATTCCTTCGCATTTTAAGATATAAATGACTGTGTAAACAACCCTTGTCAAAATGGCGGAAGTTGTACAGATTTAGTAAATGGTTATAAATGTACTTGCGTGAATGGATATGAAGGAACTAAATGCGAAACAGGTAAAACCTCCTATTAGATAAATCAGGAACATTGGTAATATGTTATAGTGTTGCGTTCCTACGAATGATTTGCTTGTGTTTTAGTTTAAAAAAATATTGGTCATGCCCTTTTAAGTTTTGTGGATTTTTTTTCTCGTTTCAAAACAAACATTGAAATATTTTCAAGTATTTTACAACAAGCTCATTTTAACATTTCAACTTCTTTGATTATTTATGTTTTCACGCGTTAAGACCTATTCAAAAATAGGATGCTGGTATGCCAATATGCTCAGATATCAAATCTATTCGGTTATTATATGGCAACAGACAAAACTTTGTCTCATCTAAATTGGTATAAATTTATATTCAAAGATTTCTTAGCTTTTAATTTTGATATTTCTGCTTATAAGTACTAATACATTAAAAACAATCGCATAACGTTGATATTATTCGTAATAAACTTAATGAACAAAGTTGAATGCTTTATCTATTGCATCATATTTTATGATGATCATACCATTTCCAGATATCAACGAATGCTCCATCGATCCATGTAAAAATGGTGGTACCTGTAACGATCTAGTTAATGCATATGAATGTGAATGTGTTACTGGATACGAAGGCAGTAACTGTGATAATGGTAAGAGTACCGCGAAAGCAATGATAAACGATTTTAATAGGGAAAACCCTTTTGATAAAAATGCGAAATTCAACCAATGAAAATAGCAGATTTGCCTTTAAATATCTATCATCTTCGTCTATTGTTGCCATTGCTTTGGATGGGTTATTTCTTTTAAAGTACTCATATAAGCATTTTAATCAATTTCAAACGCGATAAAAATATTACATACATTTCTTTATTTATTTCTTTGGATTTTATTCTTGTTCACGCGACATAATCATCGTTTGCGACGTGGCAACGATATAGCATCTCAAATTCATGGAGATGAATAAGAAGGTAACACGTTGGCTTTGTGCCAACGTACATTAGTCTGAAGATAGATGAATCTTCTCTGATAGCAAACTATGCATTAATTACTCATTTAGATTTCATTTTTTTTTTTCATTTTTATAAACATTTTCATAAACCTATATCTTAAATAGTATGACCCTAACCCTAAAAGTGAAAGTGTTTATTGATAATCATCACAAAATTAGATAAAAAGGTGAGTATTTATTGTGTATGTATGCTATAGAAAGGCTAATGAAGTATGTAGTCCGTATAACATACACCATCCATGATAATTAATAAAACTCAATGTACTGAATTTTACTTATTTCATTTTATCTCGTAACCATTTGTGTTCATATGTAGATATAGATGAATGTTCTTCCGACCCATGCAAGAACGGTGGCACATGTAAGGATCTTGTCAATGGATATGAATGTACATGTGTTGCCGGATATGACGGAACAACATGTGATAATAGTAAGAAATTGTTTCAGTGATTTTAAGTTATTAAATTATAAACTGAATTTCAATTGTTTATTTGCAATTTCGCGGAAGTCGATGATTAATATTATTATTAAAAGATTATTAACGGCGTATGTACGCTTTTTATTTAATACTTGCATACGTCGTTGGTATCTTAAGGAAGTACTTGTGCGTTTTTTTTGTTTTTTTTGTTTTTTTTCTCTTTTTTTGTAAATGAATTTATAATGATTTCTAAAATATAAATGTCAATATAAGATTCTACATAATTTAAAAAACAAAATGTTTTCACAGATATCGATGACTGTTTAAACAACCCATGCAAAAATGGAGCTACATGTACGGATCTTGTTCTGGGATATGAATGTGAATGTGTACCGGGTTACGACGGAAATGAGTGTCATAATGGTGAGAATGTATTTCTGAATACTATTAGAATTATAAGTTATATCAGTTTTCAATTAATTGGCGTAAACAATTAAATATCTGATCCTGTTTCATTCATAGAATTTAACGATCATCGAATTGTTCATCATCTTTTGTAAATTCCTTTAACCTAAATTTAGTTAATTATATATAAATAGATAGAGATTACTATTATCTTTAAGAAATCAATGACTGCTATGTTCGTTGTTATAGAAATAGATTAATAAATACGTACTAACAAGAACGTTAAACCATTTTATCATAAAAAGCAAGCTTATCAAGCTTATTATCACTTTTAAATATTTGTCTCTACTTTCAAGTAACATTGTCATACATTAATTGCAATTATGTTAAGATTTTACGATTCTTAAATACTAAATAGTTAATCTATTGCATCATATGACGAATCCCACCATGTCATTGGCAGATATCAACGAATGCTCAACCGATCCATGTCAAAATGGCGGTACCTGTAAGGATGTAGTAAATGCATATGAATGTGAATGTGTTGCTGGATACGATGGTAAAAATTGCGATAATGGTAAGAATATAGAATGAGCATATGATGAGCAAGTTTTTAGAAAAGAGAAATCGCATTGCACCAATTCACAAATCAACAAGCAACAACAGCAATTTCGATGTGTTTATGTCTGTTTAATCATGTGCCAACAAGTTTGCCTATGGTTGATATTGCTATGGAAGAATCATCTTATTTTTAGTTTCATTACAATACATTTTGTGTGAAAGTGTGAGTAACCTGAGATCTTGTTCCGCCAGTAAACTGAAAAGTTGCATATCAACTTGACATGAGTCAGAATTTTCTTCATTCTTCATTCCAGAAATAAGTTATAGCTTTAGTTTCATTACAATACATTTTGTGTGAAGGTATGAATACTGTTTAAGCTGGTGCTGGGTGAGTATGAGAATTTTAAGGTAGCGAAATACCCCATCTCTCAGCACGTTTCATAATTTCCGTACCTTATTTATTGAGACCGAACTATAGAGGTTTAGGACATGTGTATTATATTCCTTTACATTTTATATTGCTTCATAGAAATAAACGAATGCGCTCCTGACCCTTGCAAGAACGGTGGTACCTGTAAGGATCTTGTAAACAAATACGAATGTACATGTGCTGCTGGATACGATGGAACAAATTGTGACAATAGTAAGATATCTAAGATCTCTTTCATTTAGAAAAAAAGGAAAATACGTCATTTTCATTGTATGATTGATGGTTGATTTTTATATTGGATAAATACTTATTAATCTGAAATCAAGCATGACTGATATTCCTAATTCCGCTTAAACAAAAATTTACTATATAACAAGTTTATACATGTACAAAATATACCTAGTATTGTATTCTATTATCACAATGGAACCTTTTCTTACAAAAGCTGTTTATTCAATTCGATAAATTTTACTTCTTTCAAAAACTGAACATATATCACGTTTTAAACATCCCTTTCATTCAGATTTTACAAAATTCGTTCTTTTTTGTTCCGTTTAGATATAAATGAATGTTCCAGCGACCCTTGTAAAAATGGTGCTTCGTGTAAGGATCTTGCCAATGGATACGAATGTACATGTGCGGCTGGATATGATGGAATGAACTGCGATAATAGTACGTTATTAAAAATCCTTTGAATAAAGAGAACAAAGATTTATTATTCAATAAATCATAAACGTTTGTTTTATATCGCTTCCTTACAATTGAATATTGTAAAGATCTTATGAATAAGTAGATGAACTTATGTACAATTTTTTGGTTTAACAAGAATGAATTGCGACATCATTAATTGCTATCACATCCAATATTATCAACAATTTATATGTTTAATCTCTAAAATGTATGACGTTTGCACAAAAAAAGTCATTTACTTTGAAAAAAAAACTTTCAAATTGCGCTGATTGTACAAATGTTAACATCAAATCATGACGTTTCATTCTCAAATAGAAAGAAAACGCCATAAAAAGTAATGCATTCTTTGATTCATCATGTTTCCCAATAGATATTAATGAATGCGATCCTGACCCTTGCAAAAATGGTGGTACCTGCAAGGATCTTGTAAACAAATACGAATGTACATGTGCTGCTGGATACGATGGAACAAATTGTGACAATAGTAATATATCATTCATTCAGAATAAAAAATAATACGTCATATTCATAATATGAATGATGGTTAATTTTAATATTGGATTAATACTTATTCATCTGAAATCAAGCATCAATGATTTCCTTATTTCTATTAAACAGAAACGTACGATATTACCACTATATAAATGTACAAAGTATATCAAGTATTGCATTTTCTTGCAACCTTTAACATACAAAAGTTTTTTTTTATTTAAGTGGACAATCTTTATTACTTGCAAAACTGATAATTTATCACCTATTTTACGATTTTACAAAATTCGGTCTTCGTTTGGTACCGTTTAGATATAAATAAATATTTCAGCGACCCTTGTAAAAATGGTGCTTCTTGTAAGAATCTTGTAACGAATGCACATGTGCGTCTGGACATGATGGAGCGAACTGCTATAATAGTACATAATAAGAAAATCCTATATTAAAGGAACAAAGATTTATTATTCAATAAATCATAAACGTTTCTATTGTGTCGCTTCCGTATAATTCAATATTGTAAAGCTCTTATTAATAAATACATGTACTTATTTACATATTTCTTGGTTGAACAAGAATGAATTGCGAGAACAGTAATTGTTATCACTATCAATATTATCAAAAATTGATATGGTAAATCTCTTAAATGTATGAGGTTTGCAAATAAGAGACATTTTCTTTGAAAATCCTGGAAGCAAATTTGTACCTCTGAAGCATTAATCACAACAAAATAACATGAAAATAGCAGACTCGGTTTGATTGAGTCTGTACATGAGAGATAATGAATAAGTTATATAGTATGTTTCATGGTTGATTTAAATATTGGATTAATACTTATTGATATGAAATCAAGCATTATTAACATTCCTAATTTCTGTTAAACAAACATTTACTATAGTACCAGTTTATACATGTATAAAGTATATTGAGTATTGTATTTTCTTACTCCAATGGAATCTTTAACTTACAAAAGCTGTTGATTGAATAGGACAATTTTTAGTTCTTTCAAAAACCGGTCGTTGCTCACGTATTAAACATCCCTTCTTTCCGATTTTACAAAATTCGTTCTTTTTTTGTTCCGTTTAGATATAAATGAATGTTCCAGCGACCCTTGTAAAAATGGTGCTTCCTGTAAAGATCTTGTCAATAAATACGAATGCACATGTGCGGCTGGATATAATGGAAAGAACTGCGATAATAGTACGTGATATGAAAATTTAATAAGTAAAGTAAAGTACTTTTTTTTTCGGTTTAGCAAGATCGAATGTGAAAAGTAAGAACAGTGTCTTTATGAACTATAGAGAGAACTGCGATAATAGTACGTGATATGAAAATTTAATAAGTAAAGCAAATAAAGAGTTTATTGTTTAATAAATCATATACGTTTGTTTTATATGGCTTCCTTATAAAGGAATATTGTAAACAATCTTATCAATAAATACATATACTTATGTACATATTTTTCGGTTTAGCAAGATCGAATTTGAAAAGTTAGAACAATGTCTTTATGAACTTGTTCCACAATTTGTCCATTTGACAGATACAAAAACGTTTTAACCTTTTTTGTTCACAGATATTGATGAATGTTTAAGCAACCCATGCAATAATGGTGCCACATGTACTGATCTTGTCAATGGTTACAAATGCATATGTGTGTCTGGATACGATGGGACGGACTGTGATAATGGTGAGAAATTAATATAACTAACTCATTTTTAGAGAGATCATGGTTATACGTTATATAGCTCTCAGCAACGGCAAAAGATACCGATCACGATTTATTCCTTATTCCATTGGACATAACAAGCTATATTCTATTCCATTAAATTAAATTGAATTAAGAAGGTAAGTTTAATTATTTTTTGACATACAGATGTGATATGCGGGATAAATTATCATCGCGTGGTCAAGGACATCTCATGAAAATAAATTAATACCTGTTTAATATCATAACTGTTGAATATATTCAGCTTTGTTATGATGTAATCAATTGGTCTATACATTGAAATCAGTCTTACGCTCATCAGGATAACGTATAAATCAGTTTCTTACAATGAAATAGAAATTATGTGTTAAGCGGATTCCAACTCCGTGCTTTTATAGACACTAACTTCAAATCATGACTTTTCATTCTCAAACATAAATAAAATGCCATAAAAAACTTCTTTGATTTATCATGTTTCCCAATAGATATTGATGAATGCGATCCTGACCCTTGCAAGAACGGTGGTACCTGTAAGGATCTTGTAAATAGATACGAATGTACATGTGCTGCTGGATACGATGGAACAAACTGTGACAATAGTAAGATATTATTCATTCAGAATAAAGAAAAATGCGCCATTTTTATAGTATGTTTCTAGTTGTTTTTAATATTGGATTAATACTTATTGATCTGAGATCAGGCATTATGAATATTCCTAATTTCTTTAAGGTATTATCACCCTAATGCATTACCTCCGCATTGAAGAGTATTCAAATAGGCTAGAACTACTGTTAACTACATTGAAAATGAGGGCCATGGGTTCAATCCCCAGAAGGGTCAACTTTTTTTCTTTCTTTTTTTCTTTTTAAATTATTTATGTATCTCTCATGTCCCATTTTGAAAGATAAAAGTGTTTAATTTTGATTTTTCAATTTATATAGGTATTTATTGGCTAAATTATGCTAAATCTAGTAATAAATATGGTACCTGATATTTTCAAAGTGTAATATAATCAAAACTAGACGGTAAAAGTATTTCATATTTTACAAGATCAACCAATATACTTTTTTTAAAAATTTAGGGAAACTTTGAAAACAGGCACTCATTTGGGTAAATTTTAAAAACAAATTTTAATTAGGCTCCCTACGTAGAAAAATGGTCAGACACGTGGTAAAAATGGGTGGGGTAGGGTAACATTTTTATACAGATTTCATAAATTATTAGTAGAAACCATAATTTTGCTTCTGTGGATTGTTAGCTGAATGGTACTATTTGTTTCTTACCAAAAATTAATGGGAAAACATTTTTCATTAGAAAGTTATTGCAGGTTATTTAAAGGTTCCTCATTTCTAAAAAGGGCCCTCATAACATCCTAGCTTGAGTTCAGAAAAGTGGCCATAACTTGATTTCCGTACGGTAAACTTTGTTTAAATTTTGCATACAGGTGTACTTTAAGGTATACATCTGACCTATGATGTCAATTTTTTAGTTCCTTATAGTGCCCATTAGGGTCCTAATACCTTAAACGAACATTTACTTAGTACCAGTTTATACATATATAAAGTATATTGAGTATTGTATTTTCTTATTCCAATGGAACCTTTAACTTACAAAAGCTGTTGATTGAAGTGGACAATTTTAAATTCTTTCAAAAACTGGTCATTGCTCACGTATTAAACATCCCTTCTTTCCGATTTTACAAATTCGTTATTTTTTGTTCCGTTTAGATATAAATGAATGTTCCAGCGACCCTTGTAAAAATGGGGCTTCCTGTAAAGATCTTGTCAATAAATACGAATGCACATGTGCGTCTGGATATGATGGAGTGAACTGCGATAATAGTACGTTATAAGAAAATCCTATAAGTAACGCGAACTAAGATTTTATTGTTCAATAAATCATATACGTTTGTTTTATATTGTTTTTTTTATATATGTATATTGTAAAAAGTCTTATTAATAAATACATGTACTTATGTACACGTTTTTCGGTTTAGCAAGAACGAATTTGAAAAGTAAGAACGATATCTTCATGAACTTGTTCCACAATTTGACCATTCGACATATACAGAAATGTTTTTTTTCCCACAGATATTGATGAATGTTTGAGCAACCCATGCAGAAATAGTGCTACATGTACTGATCTTGTTAATGGTTACAAATGTACATGTGTGTCTGGATACGATGGGACGGACTGTGATAATGGTAAGAAATTAAGATAACTTACTCAGGTTAAAAGAGATCATGGTTATACGGTATATAGCTCTTAGCATCGGCAAAAGATACCAATCACGATTTATTCCTTATTCAATTGGCCATAACAAGCTATAGTCTATTCCATTAAATTAAATAAATTAAGTAGGTAAGTTTAATTATTTTTTGATATACAGATGTGATATGCGGGATAAATTGTTATCAACGCGTGGTAAAGGACATCTAATGAAAATAAATTAATACCTGTTTAATATCATAACTGTTTAATATATTCGGCTTTGTCATGATGTTATCAATGGGTCTATACATTGAAATCAGTCTTACGCTCATCAGGATAACGTATAAATCAGTTTCTTACAATGAAATAGAAATTATGTGTTAAGCGGTTTCCAACTCCGTGTTTTATAGACACTAACTTCAAATCATGACGTTTCATTCTCAAACATAAATAAAATGCCGTAAAAAAGTAATGAACTCTTTGATTTATCATGTTACCCAATAGATATTAATGAATGCGCTCCTGACCCTTGCAATAACGGTGGTACCTGTAAGGATCTTGTAAACAAATACGAATGTACATGTGCTGCTGGATACGACGGAATAAATTGTGACAATAGTAAGATATCATTCATTCAGAATAAAGAGAAATATGTCATTTTCATAGTATGTTTGATGGTTAATTTCTATTTTGGATAAATACTTATTGATCTGAGATCAAGCATTATTAATATTCTTAATTTCTGATAAACAAATATTTACTATAGTACCAGTTTATACATGTATAAAGTATATTGAGTATTGTATTTTCTTACTCCAATGGAACCTTTAACTTACAAAAGCTGAAGAGGAAATTTCTACTTCTTTCAAAAACTTCATGAACTTGTTCCACAATTTGACCATTCGACAGATATAAAAAACGTTTTTATCTTTTTTTACAGATATTGATGAATGTTTGAGCAACCCATGCAAAAATGGTGCTCCATGTACTGATCTTGTTAATGGTTACAAATGCACATGTGTGTCTGGATACGATGGGACGGACTGTGATAATGGTGAGAAATTAAGAAAACTAACTCAGGTTTAGAGGTTTAAATTCAAAATTAAGAACTTTCAAGCTTCAACTGTCAGTACATACGATTTTTCTACACTTTATACAAGTTTGGCACATAAATTAATCAATGATGAATTTTAACTTATTCAGAAAACCTTTTCACCGGAAATAGTTTCCTTTCTAGCATGTTATTCTAACAAAGCTTTTTTTACTAACGGTATTGTTAAACATTATACTATGTGGACCTGTGACGAAGTTTGTAGAGCACTCTCTTTTCATTTAGACAACATTTATGTCAGGGTTGGTAATACCCTATTTAAACAGATCAGAGGAATTCTTATGGGTACTAATTGTGCACCCCTGGTCGCCGATTTGTTATTGTATTGCTATGAAAGAGACTTTATGTTGAGTCTCTCTGAAGATAAACAACAAGATGTTATAGTCGCATTTAATAATACTTCCAAATACCTTGATGATATTTTTGATTTAGATAATTCTTATTTTGATCAAATGGTGTCTGACATTTATCCGTATGAACTACAACTTAATTAAACGAACTCTTGAAATTTAAGTACATCATTTTTGGATCTTCACATTACAATCAACAACAATTCTATTCACACGAAAATCTATGATTAAAGAGATGATTTTGACTTTTGTATAGTTAAATATCCACATTTAGATGGAGACGTACCCCATGCAACATCTTACGGGTATATAATATGATAAACAAGATCAACAAGGAAAGGCGGCGTTCAATGAACGCAACCCCCATATATGTTTCTCAGTTTATTAGATTCGATAGAGCTTGTAGCAACGTAAAGGATTTCAACGAGCGGAATATTTTTATTACCAGCAAGCTTCTAAAACAGGGTTACCGCTATCATAAATTACGGAAATATTTTACTCAATTTTACAATAGTAACTTCGATTTAATTTCTAATTCAGTAGTGGTTTAAAAACTCCAACAAGGGATTAGCCAGCCTGATTTTTATGGCTATGTGATTTACAAACTTCGTAAGATTTTGGGTCATGGTACTTTTTCTGCTGTTTTTACTAAAATCATTAAACGTTTTATTAAAAGAGGTTATGACCCAACTATTTTAAGACATACTGCATGTTTAGTGTTCAACCCTTTTACAGTTGGACGCTACGCTTTCCTCTTTTGATTACATCTGACGGAACAAGTGGGAGACTCTATGATGGATAGTTCTTAAAGGCCTTTGGGACTGAATTGTCTTAATGTTCGTCTTATGCCGTGCTTCGTCGGGCCCTTGTAGGTGATTTTCTTGTTGCTCTGTCTTCCTTTAGGACATTGAGTACTTTTGTTATGGTCATGGGGTTTACTTTTATATGTTTCTACATGATCATTTTGGTGTTTTACTTATTTAACCTTTTGTAACCATAACAACTGTTAGAATTTCACTTGGCGGGGATTCATTTTATTTACACTGTCTCGTTTATAGGAACATGGTGGGGTTAAGAGCGAGGTTTGGTGCACCATTAACCGGTTTTAACTCCCCAGCAGTCATTATTATGCTGCTGACCTTTCCAAGGCGGCGCCCCTCTGTGTTCCTAAGATGTATGTCTATGTTGTTTCATACTGTTTTGGTGACACCTTTGCTTGTGTCCCTTGTTGTTTTCTCGTCTACGGTAAGTATCTTCCCCCTTTACCCCTAGTTTTAATTTCTTTGATTAACCCCTCCCCATCCGGTGGTCTCCTGTCCCATTCCCTGTGCCCTTTGACTTTGTGGGCCTACTATTCAATCATTTATTTGTTTTCTTTGGATTCCTAGTCAGTTACAGATTATTTATCATTTAGTGATTAGCATGTCCGTGCTGTCTTGTGCCCTGTCCTGTTTTTGTTTGGGGTCCGCCTGGTCTCCTTGTCACTGGTTCTTGTTGCTGGATCATATGTGGGTTGCGTTCATTGAACGCCGCTTTTCCTTGTTGATTTTGTTTATCATATTTTAGAGAGGTCATGGATATACCGTATATAGCTCTCAGCATCGGCAAAAGATACCGATCCCGATTTATTCATAATTCAATTGGCCATAAAGAATCTATGTTCTATTAAATTATATCGATAAAGTAGATACGTTTAATAACTTTTTGAAATGCAGATGTGATATGCGGGATAAATTGTTATTATCCCGTGGCCACGGACATCTCATGAAAACAAGTAAATACTTGTTCTAATATATATTTGTTTAATATATTCGGCTATGTCATGCTGTAATCAGTGGTTCAATACATTCAAATCAGTTTTTCTGCTCATCAGAAAAATGTATAGATAGGTTTCTTACAATGAAATAGAGATTATGAGTTGAGCGGACTCCAACGCCGAGTTTTATTGACACTAACTTCAAATCATGACGTTTCATTCTCAAATAGAAATAAAACGCCATAAAAAAGTAATGCATTCATTGATTTATCATGTTTCCCTATAGATATAAATGAATGCGATCCTGACCCTTGCAAGAACGGTGGTACCTGTAAGGATCTTGTAAACAAATACGAATGTACATGTGCTGCTGGATACGATGGAATGAATTGTGACAAAAGTAAGATATTATTCATTCAGAATAAAGAAAAATGCGCCATTTTTTATAGTATGTTTCATGGTTGTTTTTAATATTGGATTAATAATTATTGATCTGAGATCAAGCATTATTAATATTCCTAATTTCTCTTAAACAAACATTTACTATAGTACCAGTTTATACATGTACAAAGTATATTGAGTATTGTATTTTCTTACTCCAATGAAACCTTTAACTTACAAAAGCTGACGAGGAAATTTCTACTTCTTTCAAAAACTGGTCACGTATTAAACATCCCTTTTTTCCGATTTTACAAAATTCGTTCTTTTTTTGTTCCGTTTAGACATAAATGAATGTTTAAGCGACCCTTGTAAAAATGGTGCTTCCTGTAAAGATCTTGTCAATGGATACGAATGCACATGTGCGGCTGGATATGATGGAGTGAACTGCGATAATAGTACGTTATTAGAAAATCCTATAAGTAAAGCAAACAAAGATTTTATTGTTGAATATATCATATATGTTTGTTTTATATTGATTCCTTATAAAGAAACATTGTAAAAAAATCCTATTAATAAATACATACGTGTACTTATGTACATGTTTTCAGTGTAGCAAGAACGAATTTGAAAAGTAGGAACGATGTCTTCATGAACTTGTTTTACAATTTGACCATTCGACAGGTATAAAAACGTTTTATCTTCTTTTTTTACAGATATTGATGAATGTTCGAGCAACCCATGCAAGAATGGTGCCTTATGTACTGATCTTGTTGATGGTTACAAATGCACATGTGTGTCTGGATACGATGGGACGGACTGTGATAATGGTGAGAAATTAAGATAACTAACTCAGGTTTAGAGAGGTCATGGATATACGGTATATAGCTCTCAGCATCGGTAAAAGATACCGATCACGATTTATTCATAATTCAGTTGGCCTAAAGAAGCTGTTTTCTCTTAAATTAGATCGATTAAGTAGATACGTTTAATAACTTTTTAAATGCAGATGTGATATGCGAGATAAATTGTTATTATCACATTGGCGACAGACATCTCATTAAAACAATTAAATACATATTCTAATATATTTTTGTTTAATATATTCGGCTTTATCAGTGGTTCAAGACATTGAAATACGTTTTCTGCTCATCAGGAAAATGTATAAATATGTTTTTTACAATTAGTTAGAGATTATGAGTTGAGCAAACTCAAACGCAAAGTTTTATGGACACTAACTTCAAATCATGACGTTACATTCTCAAATAGAAATAAAACGCCATAAAAAAGTACTGCATTCTTTCATTTATCATGTTTCCCCAATAGATATTAATGAATGCGATCCTGACCCTTGCAAGAACGATGGTACCTGTAAGGATCTTGTAAACAAATACGAATGTACATGTGCTGCTGGATACGATGGAATAAATTGTGACAATAGTAAGATATCATTCATTTGCAAGAACGGTGGTAAACGGATATAATTCATTCAGAATAAAGAAAAATACGTCATTTTCATAGTATGATTGATGGTTGATTTTTTATATTGAATTGATACTTATTGATCTAAAATCAAGCATTATTAATATTCCTAATTTCTGTTAAACAAACATTTTCTATAGTACCAGTTTATACGTGTATACATTAAATGAGTATTGCATTTTCTTATTGAGTTGAGTTGAGTTTTATGGACACTTACTTCAAATCATGACGTTTCATTCTCAAATAGAAATAAAACGCCATAAAAAGTAATGAATTCTTTAATTGATCATGTTTCCCAATAGATATTAATGAATGCGACCCTGACCCTTGCAAGAACGGTGGTACCTGTAAGGATCTTGTAAACAAATACGAATGTACATGTGCTGCTGGATACGATGGAATAAATTGTGACAATAGTAAGATATTATTCATTCAGAAAAAAGTTATATACGTCATTTTCATAGTATGATTGATGGTTAATGTTTATATTGGATAAATACTTATTGATCTGAAATTAAGCATTCTGAATATTCCTAATTTCTCTAAAACAAACATTCACTATAATACCAGTTCATAGAGGTATAAAGTATATTGAGTATTGCATTTTCTTATTGCAATGAAACCTTTAACTTACAAAAGCTGAAGGGGACAATTTTTTACTTCTTTTAAACTGGTCATTGCTCACGTATTAAACATCCCTTCTTTCCGATTTTACAAATTCGTTATTTTTTATTCCCTTTAGATATTAATGAATGTTCAAGCGAGCCTTGTAAAAATGGTGGTACCTGTAAGGATCTTGTAAATGGATACGAATGCACATGTGCGGCTGGATATGACGGAGATAACTGCGATAATAGTACGTAATAAAAAAATCCTATTCGTAAAGCGAACAAAGATTTTTCATTGAATAAATCATTTAAGTTTGTTTCATGTTGTTTCCTTATAATTGAATATTGTAAAGACCTGATAAATGAATGCTTATGTACATGCTTTTTGTTTAACGAAAACGAGTTGCGACAACATTTATCATTTATAATATTATCAAAACTTCTTATGGAAAATCGCTAAAATATGACACTTGCAAATAAGAGACATATACTTTGAAAACAACTTTAAAATTGCGCTTATTATACGAGTGTAAAAATTCAAATTTATTATTCACAAAATTATAAAGCAAACTGGAATAAGATAAGTAAGAACGATAACAAGCTATATTCTATTCAATTATATCAATAAAGTAGGTAAGTATAATAACTTTTTGAAATGCAGATGTTATATGCAGGATAAATTGTTATTATCCCGTGGCCATGGACATTTCATGAAAACAAGTAAATACCTGTTTTAATATATTTTGTTTAATATATTCGGCTTTTTCATGATGTTATCAGTGGTTCAATACATTGAAATGAGCTTTTCTGATCATCAGGAAAATGTATAGATAGGTTTTGTTACAAATAAATAGAGATTATAAGTTGAGCGGACTCCAACGCCGAGTTTTTCGACACTTGATATCTGTAAGGATCTTGTAAACAAATACGAATGTACATGTGCTGCTGGATACGATGGAATTAATTGTGACAATAGTAAGATATAATTCATTCAGGATAAAGAAAAATACGTCATTTTCATAGTATGATTGAGGGTTAATGTTTATATTGGATAAATACTTATTGATCTAAAATCAAGCATTATTTATGTTCCAAATTTCAGATAAACAAACATTTACTATAGTTCCAGTTTATACATGTATAAAGTATATTGAGTATTGTATTTTTTACCAATGAAACCTTTAACTTACAAAAGCTGAAGAGGAAATTTCTACTTCTTTCAAAAACTGGTCACGTATTAAACATCCCTTCTTTCCGATTTTACAAAATTCGTTCTTTTTTTGTTCCGTTTAGACATAAATGAATGTTTAAGCGACCCTTGTAAAAATGGTGCTTCCTGTAAAGATGTTGTCAATGGATACGAATGCACATGTGCGGCTGGATATGATGGAGTGAACTGCGATAATAGTACGTTATTAGAAAATCCTATAAGTAAAGCAAACAAAGATTTTATTGTTCAATAAATCATATATGTTTGTTTTATATTGATTCCTTATAAAGAAATATTGTAAAAAAAAATCTTATTCATAAATACGTGTACATATGTACATGTTTTTCGGTGTAGCAAGGACGAATTTGAAAAGTAAGAACGATATCTTCATGAACTTGTTCCACAATTTGACCATTCGACAGATATAAAAACGTTTTATCTTTTTTTTACAGATATTGATGAATGTTTGAGCAACCCATGCAAAAATGGTGCTCCATGTACTGATCTTGTTAATGGTTACAAATGCACATGTGTGTCTGGATACGATGGGACGGACTGTGATAATGGTGAGAAATTAAGATAACTAACTCAGGTTTAGAGAGGTCATGGATATACGGTATATAGCTCTCAGCATCGGTAAAAGATACCGATCACGATTTATTCATACTTCAGTTGGCCAAAAGAAGCTGTTATCTCTTAAATTAGATCGATTAAGTAGATACGTTTAATAACTTTTTAAATGCAGATGTGATATGCGAGATAAATTGTTATTATCACATTGGCGACAGACATCTCATTAAAACAAGTAAATACATATTCTAATATATTTTTGTTTAATATATTCGGCTTTATCAGTGGTTCAAGACATTGAAATACGTTTTCTGCTCATCAGGAAAATGTATAAATATGTTTTTTACAATTAGTTAGAGATTATGAGTTGAGCAAACTCAAACGCAAAGTTTTATGGACACTAACTTCAAATCATGACGTTACATTCTCAAATAGAAATAAAACGCCATAAAAAAGTACTGCATTCTTTCATTTATCATGTTATCATGTTTCCCCAATAAATATTAATGAATGCGATCCTGACCCTTGCAAGAACAATGGTACCTGTAAGGATCTTGTAAACAAATACGAATGTACATGTGCTGCTGGATACGATGGAATAAATTGTAACAATAGTAAGATATCATTCATTTGCAAGAACGGTGGTAAACGGATATAATTCATTCAGAATAAAGAAAAATACGTCATTTTCATAGTATGATTGATGGTTGATTTTTTATATTGAATTGATACTTATTGATCTAAAATCAAGCATTATTAATATTCCTAATTTCTGTTAAACAAACATTTTCTATAGTACTAGTTTATACGTGTATACATTTAATGAGTATTGCATTTTCTTATTGAGTTGAGTTGAGTTTTATGGACACTAACTTCAAATCATGACGTTTCATTCTCAAATAGAAATAAAACGCCATACAAAGTAATGAATTCTTTAATTGATCATGTTTCCCAATAGATATTAATGAATGCGACCCTGACCCTTGCAAGAACGGTGGTACCTGTAAGGATCTTGTAAACAAATACGAATGTACATGTGCTGCTGGATACGATGGAATAAATTGTGACAATAGTAAGATACAATTCATTCAGAAAAAAGTTATATACGTCATTTTCATAGTATGACTGATGGTTGATTTTGATATTGGATGAATACTTATTGATCTGAAATTAAGCATTCTGAATATTCCTAATTTCTCTAAAACAAACATTCACTATAATACCAGTTCATAGAGGTATAAAGTATATTGAGTATTGCATTTTCTTATTGCAATGAAACCTTTAACTTACAAAAGCTGAAGGGGACAATTTTTTACTTCTTTTAAACTGGTCATTGCTCACGTATTAAACATCCCTTCTTTCCGATTTTACAAATTCGTTATTTTTTATTCCCTTTAGATATTAATGAATGTTCCAGCGAGCCTTGTAAAAATGGTGGTACCTGTAAGGATCTTGTAAATGGATACGAATGCACATGTGCGGCTGGATATGACGGAGATAACTGCGATAATAGTACGTAATAAAAAAATCCTATTCGTAAAGCGAACAAAGATTTTTCATTGAATAAATCATTTAAGTTTGTTTCATGTTGTTTCCTTATAATTGAATATTGTAAAGACCTGATAAATGAATACTTATGTACATGCTTTTTGTTTAACGAAAACGAGTTGCGACAACATTTATCATTTATAATATTATCAAAACTTCTTATGGAAAATCGCTAAAATATGACACTTGCAAATAAGAGACATATACTTTGAAAACAACTTTAAAATTGCGCTTATTATACGAGTGTAAAAATTCAAATTTATTATTCACAAAATTATAAAGCAAACTGGAATAAGATAAGTAAGAACGATAACAAGCTATATTCTATTTAATTATATCAATAAAGTAGTAAGTATAATAACTTTTTGAAATGCAGATGTTATATGCAGGATAAATTGTTATTATCCCTTGGCCATGGACATTTCATGAAAACAAGTAAATACCTGTTTTAATATATTTTGTTTAATATATTCGGCTTTTTCATGATGTTATCAGTGGTTCAATACATTGAAATGAGCTTTTCTGATCATCAGGAAAATGTATAGATAGGTTTTGTTACAAATAAATAGAGATTATAAGTTGAGCGGACTCCAACGCCGAGTTTTTCGACACTTGATATCTGTAAGGATCTTGTAAACAAATACGAATGTACATGTGCTGCTGGATACGATGGAATTAATTGTGACAATAGTAAGATATAATTCATTCAGGATAAAGAAAAATACGTCATTTTCATAGTATGATTGAGGGTTAATGTTTATATTGGATAAATACTTATTGATCTAAAATCAAGCATTATTTATGTTCCAAATTTCATATAAACAAACATTTACTATAGTTCCAGTTTATACATGTATAAAGTATATTGAGTATTGTATTTTTTACCAATGAAACCTTTAACTTACGAAAGCTGAAGAGGAAATTTCTACTTCTTTCAAAACCTGGTCACGTATTAAACATCCCTTCTTTCCGATTTTACAAAATTCGTTCTTTTTTTGTTCCGTTTAGACATAAATGAATGTTTAAGCGACCCTTGTAAAAATGGTGCTTCCTGTAAAGATGTTGTCAATGGATACGAATGCACATGTGCGGCTGGATATGATGGAGTGAACTGCGATAATAGTACGTTATTAGAAAATCCTATAAGTAAAGCAAACAAAGATTTTATTGTTCAATAAATCATATATGTTTGTTTTATATTGATTCCTTATAAAGAAATATTGTAAAAAAAAATCTTATTCATAAATACGTGTACATATGTACATGTTTTTTCGGTGTAGCAAGGACGAATTTGAAAAGTAAGAACGATATCTTCATGAACTTGTTCCACAATTTGACCATTCGACAGATATAAAAACGTTTTATCTTTTTTTACAGATATTGATGAATGTTTGAGCAACCCATGCAAAATGGTGCTCCATGTACTGATCTTGTTAATGGTTACAAATGCACATGTGTGTCTGGATACGATGGGACGGACTGTGATAATGGTGAGAAATTAAGATAACTAACTCAGGTTTAGAGAGGTCATGGATATACGGTATATAGCTCTCAGCATCGGTAAAAGATACCGATCACGATTTATTCATACTTCAGTTGGCCAAAAGAAGCTGTTATCTCTTAAATTAGATCGATTAAGTAGATACGTTTAATAACTTTTTAAATGCAGACGTGGGGATTATGCTGGATAAATTGTTATTTATCCCGTATCCGACGATTCTCATGAAGAGAGAGTAGAGGTACGGTTGTTGTGAGAATGAGTAGTTGTCGTTTGAATAAATTCGGGCTTTGGTCATTGTTTTCATCTCAGTGGTTTCTAGTATTAATTATATTCTATTTTTCTTGCTCATTCAAGATCTCATGTTCCTAGATAGGTTAAGTCTTGCCAATAAAATAGAGTTACGAGTTGAGCGAGATGAAAGCACTCAGTGTTTTTTTAATTGACACTTACGTTCAAGATCATGTAGGGTTGTTATTATACAAATTAGAAATATAAAACTCTCGGCTATTCAATTAGTAACGCAATTCTTTGATTCTCATGTTTCCAAATAGATAATTGATGGATGACCTCCTGACCCTTGCAAATAACGTGTACTGTAAGGATCTTGTAAAAATACGCATGTACATGTGCTGCTGGATACGACGGGGAATGTAAAATTGTGACAATCGTAAGTCATCCATTCATTCAGAATAAGAGAAATAATGTCTCATTCTTTAATAGTATTTGTTTGTGATTGTTAATAATTTTTAATTTGGACTTACAACTTAATTGATACTGAGATCAAGCACTTATTAGTATTCTTAATGTTTCTGACTAAACAACTAATGTGTACTTTTCAGGGGGGGTGTTTTTTTTTTTTTATAAGTACTAGTGTTTTCCTATAAGTTATTGAGATAAATTGTTCAAAAATCCCTTATCTTTATGATACTTGTTTTCACACTTGACCAATTCGACCAGATATAACAAAAACACTTGTTTTTTCCTTTGTTACGTTAATGATGAATGTCTGACCCTTTTGAGCGAACACCAGTGGGCAGAGAATTGGTCGTCCATTTTATCTGATTCTTTGTTAATTGTTTTATCAAATGACTGTGGTGGCGCGATATATTGTGGCGTGATTCTTGTTTTAATGTTGGTGAGAATTAAGAAAACTAACCTCAGTTTAGAGGTGTGTAAGTGTCAAATAGAAATTTCAGCGTGGGGGTCAACGTGGTTCGGGTACAGTGGGGGATTTGTGTCGCCTAAAACTTTATTAGAGGAGTTTGGCACATAAATAATCAAATCAGATAATTTTTATATTTATATCAGAAACCTTGTTCACGGGGAGAGGAATAGGTTCAATTTTCTAGATGTTATTCATAACCAAAGTTTTTTTTACAATCGTGTTATTGTTAAATCATATACTATGTGTGACCTGTGTACGAAGTGTAGAGCACTCTCATTTCTTTTAGACACATTATATCGTCAGGGTGGTAAATACCCGTATTAATAATCAGATCAGATAGTATTCTTTATGTGGCTACTTTAATTGTGCTGACCCCTGGTCGCCGATTGTTGTATGCTATGAAAAGAGACTTTATGCTTGTATTCTCTCTCTGAGATTAAACAACATATATGCTTCTAGTGTCCGCAATTTGTATTATAATATTTCATTCCCACATTACCCTTGATGATATTTTAGTGATTTAGATAATTCTATATTTATGATCAAAAAAGTGTGTGGAACCATTTAAATCGATACATTTAGACTATTCCAACTTAATCAAACGAAACTTCTTGTAAATTTAAGTACATCACTTTTGAATATCTTAACACCTATAATATAGCAGATTCAGTTTATCGAACAATTCATATGTTACACGAAAAATCTATGATTAAAGTTTCAGAAAATGATTTATGACTTTTGATATAGTTAAATTATCCCACTATATTAGATGGAGACGTTTGAGCCAAATGCTAAACTTATTACGTGTATTATTAATATTTTGTATATTTATACATATAAATCAATCAAGGAAAGCGGCAGTTCAAAATGAACGCACAAGCCTCGGCCATATAGTTTCTCAGTTTTATATAGATTCCGATTAGAGCCTATTGTTAATGCAATCTTGTAAAAGATTTCAACGAGAGTGGAATATTTTTCTCTATTTGTCCAGGCAAGCTTTCTTAAACAGGTTACGCTTTAGCATAAATTACGTATAATATTTTACTCAATTTTACATATGTGGTTAACTCTGATTTAATTTTTCTGTTACATATGGTTTAAAAACTCTTTCGACAATGCGATTAGCCAGGCCTGATCTTTTATAGGCTACTGTGATTTTACAAAACTTGGGATAAGATTTTTGGTCATGTACTTTTTCCTGCGTTTTTACTAAAATCATTGAACGTTTTATTTAAAAGGGTTATGACCCAAACTATTTTAAGAATACTGCAATAGTTTTAGTGTTCAACCTTTTACAGTTGGACGCTACGCTTCCTTTTTGATTAATCTGACGGACTAAGGCTGCGAGGACTCTATGAGGATGTTTCTATAAAGGCCTTTTCGGACTAATGTCTTAATGTTCCATCGTCTTATGGCCGTGCATTTCGTCGGGCCCTGTAATGGTGATTTTCTTTTTGCCTATGTCTTCCTTTGGACAGTCCTGAAGTATTATTTGTTATGGTCCAATGGGGCTTACTTTTATATGGCTTCTAACATTGCTATTTTGTGTTTTAACTTATTAAAACTTTTGCTAACCATAACAACTGTTAGAATTTCACTTGGGCGGGGTATTCATTTATTCTGTCTCACCGTTTTATAGCGGACATTTGGGTTAAGAGCGAGTTTGTGCACATTAACGGTTTTACTCCCACCATCATTATTATGCTGCTGACCTTTCCAGGCGGCGCCTCTTGTGTTACCTAAGTGTATGTCTATGTTGGTTCTCATTACTGTTTTGGTGACACTCTGCGCTTGTGTCCCTTGTTGTTTTCTCGTCCTACGGTAAGTATTCTTCCCCTTTACCCTTAGTTTTTAATTTCTTGGATTAACCACCCTCCCCATCCGGTGTCTCCTGTTGCGCGCATTCGCTGTTGCCCTTTGACTTTGTGGGCCTTACTATTCAATCATTTATTTTTTTTTTGGATTTTATCCGTTACAGGATTATTTATCATTTTGTGCATTAGCATGTCCGTGTCGTGTCTTGTGCCGTGTCCTGTTTTGTTTGGGGTGCCGCCTTGTCTACTTGTCATGGTTCTTGTTGCTGATATTATGTGGGTTGCCGTTATTGGAACGCGCGCTTTTGCTCTTGTGTGTGATTTTTATCATTTTTAGATGAGGTCCATGTGATTTGAGTACCTTGTGTTTATAGCGTCTGGCTGCTCTAGCTTTTCCGTTCAAAAATTACTCCTCTTTAATTTATCGATCGCGGTCGATTGTAGTGATGAGATTCAATTGGCCATAAAGATCTATGTTCTATTA